AAACAGAACTCATGGGATGCCCAGGAAGTTAGCAGAGGGGTGGCGAGAGGTAGGGCTTGGTGCTAGGCTGGAGTCACATTGTGGAGGGTCTTAAATGAAAGACCGAACCAAGAACTGCTGTATGTCACAGTTTAAACATGACAGCAAGCAGATCCCATTGCTTTGGGTGGCTGTGCCCCTCAAAGTGAATTGGGAAGAAGAAAAAAAAAAAGGAAAAATAAAGGGGGAGGGGAAGGAAAAGAAATAAAAGGGGAGAGAGATTGAAGAATCTGGAATGCATTGGGAACCCAATGGGAACAGGGTTTTTACTGGCTGAGACGAGTGGGTTGGGAAGCAGTGGGAAGTAAGGATTACTCAGAGGAAATAGGGACTGGCAGCAAGGAAAATGGGAAGCGAAAGTGATCGTCCAGGAAGACAGTATGAGGTTGTGAACTAGGATGACGGTAGTGGGAACAGAAGGGAAGAAACACCGCCACGGACAGCCCCCCCTTCCTCAAAAAGTAGGCCAGCTCCTCTCTCCGCCTAGACACGTGTCCCATAAACACATAGGGACACACTTAGGAGGTGAGAGAAAACTATAACCTCTTCACCCGCAGCTCTTTTCTCAGCTGTCCAGCCCCGGGGGCTCTCCCTCCTGGGGCCTTTCCTCCTTCTCTCCCTCCCTCCACTTCTTCCCCAGAGGCCAGAGGCATTTACTCTGACAGACAGTCACGAGGGGGTTATTTATATCTGCAGCCGAGCTGCCTGAGCTCTCTGTCTGGAGGACATGTGGTGGGTAGGGAGCAGGGCTACACCCCATTTCCCAGGCACAGCCCTTGGCAGTACGTCTGCCCGGCACAAGTCCTGCCGATGGAATGGGGCCAAGGGATCAGAGAGGCTGTTGGCAAAGCGGTCAGCTCCCTGCGGTTGGACAGAATAGCTCACACAGTCCAAGCACCACCTTCCTTCAGTATTTAATTATTTTCACAGTTCACGAAGTTCTTACTTAGGCCCAACCTAACGTTCTTACTGCAATTTTGTCTTCATGCTCTGTTTGGGGGAGATAGCAGACTCTCTAAAACCTTTCAGTAGGAAAATAGTTCTGCTCAGTCAGGTAGACCGCGTCCACGGAATCATGTGGCTTGTGTCCAATAGATTTCATGGCAAGAACTAACTTTGGATGCAAACCCACTTACTTTGCAGTTGCTAAATAACTCAGAATGACAGAGAAGCCTGGGTTGACTCACTGAACTGGTGACTCTTCTTTTGTACACTCCCCCCTCCCTGTCCCCTCCCTCCTCCCTTAGGGCTCAAGGCTGAATATGATATAGGCCGGAAGGAATCCTGATATCGGGCTGGGAGAGACTCAGGGTGTGGAGGGATGGGCAGGCAGGACTGCTGACAGGGAAGCTCACGCTATACATGACCTCCTTCCAAGGGAAAAGAATACATTTCTTGAGTCTAAGAAATGTTAGTCCCTTCAGGTTCTCAGATGGCCTGGAACATCATCGCTTTCCGTTAAGGCAGAGATGATGTGCAACCTAACTGCAGAGGCAACCAATAATAGGTGGGCCCCCGCCAAGCAGCAGGCTCTGCGCATGTGCTATTACGCTGAATCGTCACAATAGGGCAGTTGTTAGCCTTATTTCACAGAGGAAGAAGCCAAGGCTCACAAAAATGTTATGAGAGGGGGCTGACGTGGAGGCTGGAACGGTGCAGGGCGCTGCTCGTTCCCATTCCCAGGACATGGTACCTGTAGCCACCGTTTGTCCACGTTCACGGCAACCCCAAGGGCCAGGCAGTGGATCATGCCTAAGACTGGGTTGACACAGGTCAGGTCTGGCGGAAGGAATCGGGGTGAGTGTGTTTCTGCCAGGTCTGGAGGGACAGGTATGCTTTTCAATAGGAAGCTGTTGGGGTCAGAGGAGACTGCATTCTGATTAGTACCATTTCCTTAGGAGCAAGGTGTTTGGGGAGTTTGCTGTCTCCCTCAAACAAAAAGAATTGAAGCCGGGTGTTAGTTAAGATCGCCAGAAGGGCTTTATAGGTTGGATATAAGGGGGAAAGAGAAGACTTAGTGAACGGTGAAGATGATTAGCTACGGAAGGGGCAAACGCTCAAGCTGATAGCTTTTCCAAAGGGCCACGCAGGAAACGGCAGGACCTGGACAGACCTGAGCAATTCCTCTCCCCTTTCCCAGGAGGAAATGACCCACCACCAAGGGAGCTCAGGCCCGCCCAGCATGGACCGAGCCTTCCCGCCCATGGTCTGTGCAAACACAAGCAGTGGCATCGCCGTGAAACCAAGGAGCTGGCCCACCATTGCATTCCCAGTTCCGGCACCCTGTCCGTGTTCAATAAACACGTGGTGAGTAAATAAAAGGTCACATGTTTTCAAAATTGTTTGTGTCCTTGTTGGCTGGACTGTGGGCATAGATCTGGGGAAATATGCCCCAGTTCACAAACTCCTGCGCAGACAAAAGCTGACTGAGCTATAGTGCCCTGTGGTCCCAGTGGAGTTCCTTCCAGCGCTCAGGGCCAAGGAAAAATGCTTCTCATCAGCGACTCCTGGTCAGCCACGTGGGAGAGGGGCCGGGGGGGTGGGGGGGAGTGCTTAGGGCTGACTCATAGGCCTCTCCTGTGTCAAGGGCCCTCCAGGAGGTTCCAGATGCGCTGAGACCATTCTAGCCATGGCTAATATGCTCGTGAGCATCCCAGGGGACACAGCAACATTAAGTAGGACAGATCTGATGTTGCATAAGTGAGTCTGTGATTAAAGCCATTTCTCCCTAATGCCCTGGTAACTTGAAATGGGACATGGATGGGTTCATGTCATCCAACAACCTGGCCGGAAGCAGCAGTAGCTTCTGCAACACAAGACAGTATTTACTTCTTTTTTGAGTGTCATCTCCTGTCTCCTCGAGGCTAAACGTTGACTTTATATGTTAGGGCTGAACCTTTTTTTCCAAATGCTCTTTCTGTTCACCTCTGGCTTCCAAAGTGGTAGGTACCCATTTGTCTCTGTTTAGATCAGGAGGAGGCTCTCTGAGCAGGAAGGAAAATAGTTCTGCTCAGTCAGGTAGACCGCGAGCAGCAAAAGGAGAAAATGCTAAACGATGGCCAGTTTTATGTACAAGAGGAGACACTACTGGAATTTCAGAGATGGCATCTCTTTTTTTGCTGTTAACAGCTTTGATAAAGCCCTCTTCACATTCTCTGAAGACAGAGGTCTTTTACTATCAGTTGAGGGCTCTGTCCATTTCATTTGTACTTCCCACTGCCAGCTCAGGGCCTGGCATGGTGTGGCTCACCCCAGGAGAGGCTGTCTCCCCTACTTGCATTATTCAGTAGGCATTTCAGCTACATCTTCTGCCAGGTAGGGAGAACTTCAAGGCTGGCCCTCCTGAGCACATGCTGCCTGCCTTTGCTGGTGGGTGGGGGTGGGGAAGGGAAAGCAAGGTGGGGGGTACAAGTGTTAACAATTTACCATCACTTCGCTCATCTCAAGGTGAGATGACACATAAACAAAAAGCATCATTAGCTTCACTATTTCCAATGGTGGGATGGGACTCTTGAGGCCACACAGCCTACTTACACCTTCCATGGAGTTGGGAAACAGAACTAGGCATTAATATCGTCTCAAAATTCCTCAGTCTAATTCAGTCCTAGTCCTCTTATATTTGTCCTTGTCCTCCATTTTAAATATTTTTTATTAATAGCCACAAATAAGCTTCATCAATATCCACAAATAAGCACAGCTGGTGTGGCTCAGTGGTTGAGCATTGACCCATGAACAGGAGGTCACGGTTCGATTCCCCATCAGGGCGCATGCCCAGGATGTGGGCTCGATCCCCAGTGTGGGGTGTGCAGGAGGCAGCTGATCAATGATTCTCTCTCATCATCAATGTTTCTCTCCCTCACCCCTACTCTCTGAAATCGATAAAAATATATATTTTAAAAATCCACAAATAAAATCTCCCAAGGAAACCAAAAGATGAACTATAAATTACTTCTTCTCTGCATACAATCTGTTTTTTTTTAACTCATCTTGACTCTTGAGGATGCTGATTGGGTAAGAGGCTCATTTTCCTGATTGTTCTGATTCATTTGATATTATCTCACCTTCATAATTTTACTAAAAAATTATCTGGAAACAACAATAAAAACTATTTTTTAGTCAGGTGTCACTAAACAAAAGCTTCACCTGTAGACATGATCTATAAGGAAGATAATGCCCAAACATATTTCATCAAGTTTCAATCTTTTACCAGACCTAAATAATAAGCAAAGAGGGCGAATTGCACAACGAACTTGACTGTGCAGGAGAGAAATGCACTGGGAAAAGGTACATACTGAAAAATGTTTTGTAACTGTAATGGGTTTGAAAAAAGTTGAGCATTCTTCAATAGAAGGTGGAAATCAATGGCTCTAGGTCTTGGTATGTCATTAAGGAAAAAACATGACTCACTCTATTTAAATCCCAATTACAATTAAAAATTAAATTGCTCAAAGAACGAGGACTTTAGACTGCCTACCACAGGATAATGGACTAGCTCCAGCCAAGCCAATAAAACACATAGCCCATGAGGCTGAAAGGTCTTTGTGTTCTTGGGTCAGAAATGGAAAGACCATAACCTCCTGGAGTGCTGCTGTTAGGCAATCTAAGCCACCTCACCAGACTTTCTGACTCTTCAATGCATCCCATCATATTTTTAATGTTGGTGACCGAGGCTAAATCCATTACATTATATTGTGTACATTATGGGTACAACTGGGCCACTTACAGATATAATCTACGGTAGCCATTGTAGACTTTTATGACAATGTTCTGGCTGTTGGGAGTGAAATGTGTTGTGCTACAAATATAGCTCATGATCTTAAAGGGACCTGAGTTGTCAATCACTTCTCACCCGTAAAAGCCAGATGACAAGGAGAAAAAAAACAACACTTTGTTTTTTCCTTTAAACTCAACCCCTCCTCTGGGCCAATGTCAACTTTCAAAGAGAAAAGGCAAAACACAAGCAAAGAAACTGAGATATTTATTTAAAAAAGAAATTTCCAAGGAATGTGCCTGCTTCATCTTAGGAGCTACTCCGAACCCAACTGCTCATATATCATCAATATCTGCGATGCTGTGATCCCCACTGTTCAGAAATCATGATCCCAAAGAACTGAATGATCCCAAATCCAGAAAGAACAGGTAAATTATATCTAGTATACTGTGTTAAGACAAGAAAGTATATCACTGTTAGATTTTATAATGTTTTTAACCAGTATTGAAATAGAAAAAAAGGGGTTTTCTGGCTAACCAGGAAATTTCTCTTCCCCGAGGATCCCAAATAATTGAGATTGTGTTAAAGAGACCGTTCTTTCTAGACAATCAAGTCTAGCATTACATACCATGCCAAGAAGAAACTAAACCAAAGATCTGCCCTCCTACCTTCAAACATGAAGGTATTAAATGTGAGTGATTTTTTCACTCTTAGAAACAATGTAAAAAGTCTACACAATCACACACATATTAGAAAAAAACTAATTATTAATCTCCAATATGTCTGTCATTTTTAGCTGCACTTTGGTTCAATTAAATACTAAAACAATAAATTAAGTTTGCTTTAGCACAGAACAGACAGATAAGGAGTTGAAATGATATATGTGTCCACGCTGTTCGTCTGCCTGCTCTCATTTTCCAGAAGGCTGATGGTTCAGGAGACACTTCCACGTCTATCAATGGGAGGGCTCAGTCTTTACCACCACGGGTCAGTACTGGCCAGAACTCCCCAAGGAGTAGCTCAGAATCACAGGCAGCTAAATGACATATTTTGGTAGAGGAGCAGTCAAATTTACTAATTCAATGATCCCAATATGTGACGTAAAAGACAAAGAAAAGGCTCAACCACACTAAAAAGAATAATAAAACAATGAATATGTTAAATATGGGATAAGGGACCTGGTCAAAGGAACAAGGAAAATAATCTTTTTGGTTAAGGAATCCAATTTTTCTCAAATGAGAAATCTGTAAGGGGGGAAAAGAAAAAGAAAAAAGCCCTATATATTTTTAGAATATTACATTACAGAAACCAAGGAGTAAATGGCCTCCACATTATAACTTTCATATCTTAATCCATATGAAAATGCAAAGTACTTTTGCCAATTTAATCAATGGCCGTAAAGTCTGCAGTGCATTTGTCATGTGGTTAAAACCGTGAGTAGGCATTTCGTTGCTGCTGCTGTTGTAATGGTTGCTGGGCTTGCTGCTGTTGCAGGCGAATTTGCTGGGAATAGGGGTCTTCCAAGGACTTGACAAATATGGTAGTTCTGGGGCCCGTCTTCCATACGATACCATTGGCATCCTTCACGGAAGATTCCACAGTAATGTTGTGTGTTCCAAGGATAGCAAAGTTCAAAAGAAATTGTGTACTAAAGTAATCGTTATGAGGCTCAACCCTCTGCTCCATTTCATTGGTCATATTGTCAATGGGTATCTGGAACAAAAGAATTGTTAAGTAATAACAACAGCTAACATTTACTGAGTGCTTACTATGAGCGAGGTCCTGCCTAAGTGCTTATTTATTCCATGCAAACAACCAAGAGGTAGGTACAACTATTATTCTTGCTTTATAGAGGAGAAAACTGAGGCATAGAGGTTAAGTAATTTCTCCAAGGTCACACAGCTAATGAGTGGTGGAGCAGGCCTCTGAACCTTGGCAGGCTAATTGCAGAGCCTATACTCTTACTTATGGATTGATCTGACCCTTGACTATCCTTAAAGAATGAGCCCCCACAGCCTTTCTCAATCCTTCATATGCTGGCCTCTGCTCCTGGCAAAGGAGTTCAGGACACACCACCCATACAAGCTGCTTTGGCATCCTGAGGTATTTTGAGCTAAAGGAACTTGAGAAACAACAGATGCAGGAGGGACTCGCTGACCTGCCCCCTTGTACCTAAAACAGGCCATAAAATTTCCTACAAGAAAAGTAGCCTCCCTCTACCAAGAAGAGAAAAACATCCTTTATCACCAGAGACTGAAATGGACCTGTACAGACAAACCTACTAAAATATCCCCTATCTTCTATGGTCTCCCCCACTGCCCCAACATTTCCCCACATTTACTGCCCCAAGTCCAAATCCGTCTCCTGTCATTTTGTCATGAATTTACCATTTCTGTGTCTAAAGGTATATAAGCTTTCTGTTCTGGTCACTTCTTTGGATCTTCATGCTCTTGTGAAGATTCCTATCTACAAGTGAAATTCTATTAACACTGGTAGGTTTTTTTCCTATTAATCTGCCTTAATGTCAGTTTACCCTTAGGCCCAACTGGAGATCCACAGAAAGCAGAAAAGTAATTTTTCCTTTCCTACACTTGCTTACCCAACCTCAACTCCAATTCCCATCTTTCTTCAGTCTGTGAAGAGACATTCTGAAGAAATAGGGTGCAACCATCTGTTTCAGGGGTTTTAAAATATAAGAGACTGAAAAGGGACATAAACTATGTTTATATGTGAGTTTTCTTCCTCCTAGCTAGTCTGATTTTATATTTCTTAATATAATGATTCCTCCCTGCTTTAGTATTCACTTCAGCATTAAATTAACTTCAGAACTTGTACATCACTCACTTAATCAGTGTTTTGTTCACATTGGCAGTACAATATATTGCAAAACACAGACTTATGGGCTCATTCATTTATTTAGCTAGAAAAACACTCAGGCCGTTGAGTGTTTTGCAGTAACACAATAGCATCTGCTGATATACCCCAACCTCTACTCATGATGAAGCATGTCAGAGAGACACTTTTTCTGACAATGCACATACAGGTAATCTTAATGAGTGCTTGACTAGATTGATCTACATTTATGTGCATTTATTTTGTATAATTAATTATGTAAATGTGCTCTGAAGCTTTGTCTCAATAAGCAGTTAGCATGAGGTCAATTTTCCAAAGTCATTTACCTGTAACATTCATAAAGTCACCAACCAATTCAAAATCTTAGAATTACTTACAGGTATTTTTTTATTTGCATAGTCAATTTTTGTAAGATTTTTATATTCCTAAAGAATATGCCTATCAAACAAGAATTTCCTTAAAGAGATCAGAAAAGGACCTGATGACTCTAAATGGATGATGCATTTTAAGTTGCAAACACGCTGCAAGTAACATTACGATCATGTACAGCAAGCATGTCAAACTCGTGGCCCATGGGCCGCATGCCGCGTTTATTTGGCCGTGTTAGCCTTTGAGTTTGACATGCTCATGGATAGCATGGCTTATTATAGCAGCTTCTTGACTTCAGTCAATGTCTCCCAAGAGGCAAGTCAGCAAGCATGAGAACAGTACTTCTCAGTTTGAATGTTTTTCTTCATAATAGTAGAAATCATTATATACAAGAGAACCATGGTTATGGTACTTTCAAACTCAAAGGGCGGAGAAAGCTGCAGACAGTTAACTATGTAAATTCTCACTGTGATCTTCTGTGGCATCGGGAGATCACCCAAACATAAATAGTTGTGCTTTAACTACTGATGCTTTTCACCAGTCACCAAATAGCTAGTGAGTGGCTACATAAGGCACCATGCTTTGAGTCATGAAAATGAAAAAGAGGAAGAGAAGAGAATGAAGGCTGAGCCTTATCAGATGGGTGAAGAGTGCCAGAGAGATAAGCTATTGAAGCAAAGCAAGTGATGATGGCTCAAACCAGAACTCCCCTTGGCCTTTTTAGCCTACCTCCAAAGAGAATAAGATGCTCTCTTTTTATCATTACTAATACTGCTTTTCTAGCTATGAACCTCAGTTCAAGCATGCCCCCAATCAACCTGGATACCAGCATCTGAACAACTCTATCATACAACTGTGTACTTGATCCCTTGCTCCATTTACTTTGAATAAACTGCCACAGAACTGGAAAGAGATGGCTAAAGGAAGGAACATTCTACATGTGGAAGATTGGTATTTCATGGGCATGAATTCAGAATCTTAGCTTTGGCTAACAAAGCAAGCATGGTTTTGGTTAACTGGCCTCATGGATTCTCAAAGCAGCAAATTCCTAGGGTTATACTCATAAGGAAAGATTTTTACTTTACCTAACCATTGTTATGTCAACGCTATATACTTTCTTTTTTGAAAAGTTACTTAAAATAGAGGAAAATACACAGATGTGCTCTTTTAGGGGCAGGGGGCATAGGGAGACACCTATTCCCCACTTCTGACGTTTCCTCCGTGTGAAAGGACCTCTCATCAGATGAACAGTACTGGTCTGCTGAGGAGGTACATCCCACTGGCTAAGTTTCGGGGTGGGAGCTGGGCATGGAGAGCTAAGTATCTTCTCTTTCCCTTCCTTTTTGAGCTTCAGGTGCTCCTTCCTGCCATCAATTTTATGGGGGCAGGCTTTGTGTGTATTGGCTGAAGCTAGAGGGGAAAATTCATGTCAGAGGTACAGGGCACCTAAGGTACAAAGTCTTTGCCCCTGGGCACCTGAGCAGGGTTTCTCCCTGACTTTAACAGTAATAACACTCATAGTCTGATTTCCATCTATCGAATGTTTAGGCAGGAAAAAGAGAAGTGTTGTTATCAGCCTTTCACACCCCAATATGTGATTTTAACTCATGTCCATCTGATCCCTGTGGAGGTAGAACTGCAATCTACTTAACCACAAAAAACATGGGAAAACTTCCATCACATAAAATCCCACCGCAATTCTGCCTCTTTTGTAAATTACCTTGAACTCTTGTCCCGATTTACTTTGTAGCGTAGAAGAAACATTCAGACAGACAGACTGGATTTTTCGAAACAGTCCTGGTTTAGATCCATGCTGAACCACTCCCTCCACCTTCAGCGCCAGCTGTTGGTTGTTCTGGACAGCAATGGGCTCTGCAGGGTTCCGGGGGGATGGCGACAGAGCAAGCTGGAACAACAACATCAAATCAACACTAACAACCAAGAGCTAGCTTCCTTCCAACAAACATATCTGTGCTAATTGCTGGTTATGGGTTAAATGTTACTTACCCCCCCCCCCCCTTCTCCCTCCCCACTTCAGCCCCACACACATACGACCTGACTATGCTGGGACAACCAGATAGATGTACCTTCAAAGTCCAGAGTTCCTTATTTCTAATGCCCCCTTTTAAATACCCTTTGTTTTTTTAACCCCAAGCCCCAGCACTGATTGAAGGTAACAGAGAATAGTGGAGGTACTGCTCTCCCAGTCTCTGTGCGGAGGGAGGCACTTCTTTGACAATGAACCAATTCTAGTAGGGAAATCCATTATGTAAATGTTCATGTCCAGCAGCTGGCTCTTTGGTTTTAGGTAATTTTAAATGGACTAAATTCAAATGTAAATGAATTTAAAATTCTAGGATTACAAACATAACCAAGTCACCATGGTATAAAAGTCAACTTCTACAAATGAACCAAATGACATTTTTAACTCCTCAGAGTAATTTTTCTTTAAAAACATATTAAAAGTCCCAAATCCACTTCAACTACAGAAAGCTCAAGTCTTGCTAAATAAAAAGATGGAAAAAATTGTTTGTTTTTATAATGATACTGATCTACCGAACCAATCAACTATAGAGACCTACTACCTTAGGACTTATCTATATGATACATTAGCCAGGTTATTTGCCATAGCCTACTTTATTTGTAATCAAAAGCATTTGGACGGATGCCAAGACATACTAGACGTTTACTGACAGAGATAATCCAAGAAATCTCTCAGAAGTGACAATTTCCTCCATCCCCAACAATTCCATTCCTTGAACAAAAACAGCTTTTGAATTTTCAGTAGTTTAAATATTTTAAAATACTAATCCTATTACTTGGACAGCTCCTCAAAGCTTGTTATTCAAAGATAAAAGTGCTTCCGAGGCAGGATTGGTGATGTTATACTGGATCTATTTCATTTGAAGTTGGGTCTCAATAGGCTGACCAGAAGTGGACTCAGCTCAAGATCCTTGTAGGCTACTATGATGAAAACCACTCAACTTATTCTTGGAGTAGAGAGCTAAGGCACAGAGCTCCAGGTACGCAAACACCTGTCTCCCTGCATTTGGTACTGACAGGTACCCATTTTCTTCACCAAACCAGCTGGCAAAGGCAGAAAAGGCTTATAACTAAAGAGCATAAGTTTTATCAAAACCAAAGGTAAGCTTCTGAAGCAGAGCTATCTCCTGCTTAATCTGTAGGTGATAACTGGGCTTTTAATCTATATTAACCTTATACTTCTCCCAATATTACCTTAATGCTGGTGGATTGCAGTTTCTGGAAAAAATATCTCTGAAATGAAAGAGGAACTTTCAGCAAAGCAATGATGGCATTGCAGAGGCATGCTGTATGCTGTGGGGGAAAAGAAATGGAATCAAATAAAAATTAATTTCCAAATTTCATCAAAAAAATTATATCATTTTGTCAACCCATCCCCACTAGGCGGCTTCCCTGACCCTACGGTCATGAGGCCTCAGGGAGAGAATAATGGTGAAAGCTTGCTGGAATTGAGATTAAGAATGACTACCAGTAAATAGTCCAACTATAGGGAATTATGAAACTTTAATAAATGCTTTGAGTCTTAGTGAAAAGGATCATAGAATTAGAATTTAAGAGTTCCAAGATTATTTATTTAAAACCACTCCACTGATATACAATGACATACAAAATGCTCTATGAATTTAATGTATACTACTTGATGGGTATGGAGGTAACCATACACCCATGAATCCATCAAAGCTATTTAAAGATCATGCCAATTTAAACAAATTCTTTATTGCTGAGAGTATTACAGATGTCCCCTACTTTCCCCCATTACCTCCCTCAATCTGGTTCCCGCCCTGCCCCAGTCCTTCACCACTCAATTGTCCAAGTCCGTAAGTAATGCACATGTGCATATGTTCTTTGGTTAATCTCTTTCTGCAACTCTCTTCCCCTCTGAGATTCCTCAGTCTGTTCCATTTTTCTGGTTCTATTTTATTCATCCGTTTGTACATTAGATTTCTTGTTCATTTATTTTTATTTTTAGATTTAAATGTTGATAGCTACGTATTTATTGCCCTTTTATTGTTCATATTTTTAATCTTTTTTTCTTCTTCTTCTTCTTAAAGAACACCCTTCACAGAGCTTCACAAGTAAAGATCAGCTCAATTTTGATGATGACATGGGTCACCTAGATAGGTAATGGAACAAACGGGACTAGAACCAAGATTGCCCAATCCTTACTTAGTTCAGTGATTTTTGTTCCACTTCACTAATGATTTGCAAACAATAGGGGGGAAAAGTTACAGCACTACCAGAACATTTAATCTTTGGGGCACCCTGAACCATTCCTAGTTGTTCTACCAGACCCTCCTCAGTCTACTCCCCTCAGTGGTCCCTTCTAAGTACCACAGGTTGAAAACCACTCCACTATTCACTATGCCGTCTGTCCGTCTGAGCTCCTGCATTCAAATAAACTGTCACCTAGTTGCCTACCCTGTAAACATTTTTTAAGAATTGGGCAATAAGGCCGAAAGCCAGAAGAGACTACTTGTCATTGGGTTCAGGCTGCTGAATATTTTGTACCCAACAGATGAGCAGTAATACAAATGCCAGGTCTATTACTTGAGAAAATAACAGCACAGATTTAAAGACACCAGGCCTATTTCTTCAGGTTTATCTGCTAAAACATCACTATTCATCTTCCTGCAAGGAACCTGGGAAGCATTTGCAGGGACATTCTACTGGTGGTGGAACCTTTGATGTCACAATAGTGTTTAAGGAGAGAAACATCTTTAAAGGACTGACTCAGAGGACCCCAAGTGACCTCAGGCTGTTCCCCGGGCAAAAGGCACCATTCTCCCTTTTATAAGAAGAAATTCAGATTTTACAATTCCCCACTGGGAAAGCAGGACTGCCTCTGAGGCCACCAGCCCCCCCGGACACACCTTCCCAGGTATATTAGTAGCAATTTACTATTAAAGTAACAGTCTGGAGGTGTGAAATCACATATCATGGTTCCTAAACCAACACTCTTCATTGCCAGATCCAATATTTTCCAGCTTTTGTATTTTTTACAATACTGTGGCACCTGCTAAGTCTCTTTTTCCAAGGAATTCCACTTATGGCCCCTGCCCTCACTTTTTCAGATTTTTCCTCTCTCCATCTTCTTCCCTAAGATTCTTTTCCTTTGTTTCTTCCTTAAATGTTGATACTCTCATTAGTCCATATGTTCCTAACAGGCAATTTTCTCTACTCTCATGACTTTTTTTTTTTTTTTTTTAAATAGAATATCTTTTTTAAAATATATATTTTATTGATTTTTTTTTTTTTTTTACAGAGAGGAAGGGATAGAGAATTAGAAACATCGATCAACTGCCTCCTGCACACCTTCTACTGGGGATGGGCCCGCAACCAAGGTACATGCCCTTGACAGGAATCAAACCTGGGACCTTTCAGTCCGCAGACCAACGCTTTATCCACTGAGCCTAACTGGTCAGGGCTCTACACCTATGACTTTAAGAACCTCTAAGTTCAAAACAATCTTACATGCATTCCAGCCCTCTTCCTTCTAACACCAGACCTATTTTCCAGCTGCCTGTAACCCAGCCACATGCTAACAATGAAACCTTCACCTTCTTCCACCATCCCTTTATATTCTCTGTCTCAGTAAAGGATCAACCACTGTGAACTTGGTAACTTGGAAACCTAGAGGTCATGTCTCCATCCTCTCACATTTAATAAGCATACACACACAACACAAAAACCCAAGCTTTGAAAACATTGCCCCTAAATATCTTCTTTATGTATCTGTTCTTCTCATTCTAATTCTTGTTAATTAGGCCTTTACCTTGGATTATGAGTTTTGTGCCTACAGCCATTACATATTCTATGCCTACACGACAATAAAGTACAATCTTAACCACATCTTTCCCCTTTTGTCACCTGGTCTCTGCCTACCTCTCCAGCCCCCGCCTATACACTCTACTGCAACAATAGGAAACTATTCCCAGAAGACACATGCTATTTCATGCCTCTGCTTTCAAACATGTGGTTCTCTGAAATTCTCTATCCTCATCTCCCTGCAAAACTGCCATGCAAAGGCATTTTCTGAGTTACTCCCTTACCCCATTTTGCCTATCCTGTGACATGAATTTGTGTGTGTGTGTGCTACATCTTTACCTCATGGAGAGCTCTATTTCTGCATACACACTGCTTTGTGTTTGTTTATGAAATCTTCACTTCCTATTAGACTACAGGCAACTCGAAGGACGATCCCGTGTCTTTGTCATTTTTTTTATTCCTAGGACCCAATAAATACTTGTAGAACTGAATTTGGGGCTCAGATAATATTAAAGCTATAAAATACATTATGGAGAGAAAAAGAGAATGAACATTTATTAACCACTCCTTATGTACTATGCCAGGTACTGTGCTAGGCAATATACTTTATTTAAAGTTAACAGTAACTCTATAAGGTAAATATTTTTTCCATATTATAGAATAGGATTTTAGTAATTTGTTTAAAGTCACAGACCTGAGTGGCAGAGGGGGGGTAGGGGGTTGAACCTAGTACACTTGTCTCTGTACTGTCTCCTATTGAGCAAAAATTTCCCCTTCTTTCCATTATATTCAGTGGGTTCAATTCCATTAAACTGAAGTTATTGTTTGGTATCTACTTAACTTCTTAGGGTGCAGCTTAAAGGAAGTATGAAATAATGTAATGAATGTCACACAGAGGTGTGTGTGTTTACTTCAAAGATAATTTTTACAAACTCCCTTAGCAACCAATCTGTGCCAAACCTGAGTCAGTTCGATTCAGCAAATACATACTGATGACCTTATGTGGAAAGCTGTATATCTGTCCTTACTATCTAACCTAACCCTTTTAACAACACATCCTGACAATTTCTTCTAAAATACTTGATAAGTAGTAAGAGTATAGAACGGGAAAAGCAGGAACCAGAAGAGAGCTTTGGGGAATATCTGATGTGTGGGCAGAGCAAAAGCTCTCCTAAGAGTCAAGTTCAAAGAGAGGGTGTTATGGACTGAATGTGTGTGTCTTCTCCAAGTTCATATGGAAAAGCTCTAACGGTCAATGTGTTGGTATTTGGAGTTGGGGCCTCTCAAAGGTGACTAGGTTTAGATGAGGTTATGAGGATAGGCCCGCTATAATGGAATTAGTGTCCTTATAAAAAGAGAGAGACCAGAGCTCTGCAGAACGCGCGAGGACACAGTAAGAAAGAGCCAATTTGCAAGATGGCAAAAGGGCCCTTACCAGTTAACTTGTTAAAAAAAGTGATCCTAGACTCTCCAGCTTCCAAAACTGTGAGAAATAAATGTTGTTTAAGCCACCAAGTCTAGTGCATTCTGTTACAGGAGCCTGAGCCAACTAGACCCTGGAGACTGGCCAGACATGGAGGAGAGAACTTGGGTGAGAGTGTCTCCATCTGTCCTGTGGCTGGGAAGTCAGGGGACAAGATTCAATAAAGAGCGAGTGCTCAACAGTGCCAAAGGCAGCAGAGAGTCAGCAGAGGGAAGGTGGACAAGTACACTAAAAAGTACCAATGGCACCACCTCGCAGGAACTAATTTAGTGCCAGTCAGGTAATATGCCCAGTTCTTTCTGGCTCAAGTGGCCAGTGGTCCTCAACCCTGGTGGCATGACAGAATCACCTGGGAGCTTCTAAAAATGCTAATGCCCAGGCCTGGACTGCACAGATACAGAGTTGACTGCTCTGGGGTGGGGCCTGAATATTGATGCATTTTTTAAAAAATACTTCCCAAGTGATTCTAATGTAATAGCCAGGGTTGAAAACAACTGCAACTTCAGTTAACTTGTTAAAAAAAAACAAGTTTTATCTGCATTCTGGTAGAGTAGATTTAACAGGTTAATGTGACTCTGTAGCAGCTACAGAAATGCCACATGCTTTCATGAATCATCTCATTTCATCCTCATAACAATGCTATGAGACATGTACTGTACTAACCCGGCTACAAAACAGGCACAAAGGAAACAGGCACAGAGAGGTTGAAGTGACACAGTAAGTGCCAGGGATGAGTAAAAACCACTCGCACATAATAAAAACTCAGTAAACAAATGCCACTTGCCATATAAGAAACAGGGGTATATTTCCGATTGAGTGACTCCACCTCCTCCAAGACGTGATTATATACAGACATCATTCTTCTCTCATATTCACTATCAGCATGGGCTGCTCCTACGGATCCATATTCCTGGGAACTGAAGTTAAAATAAATATCGGTTAATGAGCCACAACAGTAACATTTTAATGTCTCAATGCATCAAGCACATTCTTACATAATCTTTAAAATAATGAAGTACCCACGGTTATTTCCATTTTATAGATGAGGAAACTGAGGCTTGAAGAAGTTAAGTAATTTGCCTTCAGTCTCATTTAACCTGTAAGTGGCAAGCTAGCATTCAAACCAAGATCCGACTTCACTCAATCACTTTGGTTGTTAGATAGTATAAAACCTTATCCCTCTAGCCATTCCCTTATTTTCTAGGCAGTAGAAATAAAGGTTAAGTGTAAAGGAAACATGACTGAACAAGAAGCTAGAAAAGAAAAACGTAATGCACAAGCATTTCAAAATATTTTTTCCTGGTAATCCTGAAAAGCAATTATGAGGTAGATAATAACAGTCATGACTATAAACATGTCCTCATCGTATCCCACACTTACTGATACACTGGCATAGGTATTATGTTAGCTGCTAGAGATACAAAGTTGAATGAAACAGAATCACCCCTCACCTCTCCAACCCTTCTAGGCTGTGAAAGAAATACACAGATTTCTGTGAAAAATTCAGTGAAATATTAATATCATGCCTCACTCTCTTGAGGTTCTTTTCAGCAATAGGTTCCTCTTTACTTGGAAGGCACAAAATATATACTACCAAGAAGAGAAGTTTTAGAAGGAATATACTCCTTGCAATTGCATACTATTGCAAATAAAACCCAAAGAACTCTCCCTCAGGGTACACGCTTTCTTTTCCAATTTTTCATTATTACGAAGGACAAAGATTAGGGGAATGGGTTTGAGGGATGAAAGGTGATGAAGAAGAGTGGGAAAAAAAAAGTGATAGGAAGGGGAGAGGGTTAGAGAGCAGCATGTTCAGGCTGGTTAGATAACTCTCTTCATCGCTGACAATGTGCCTATCTCTCTGTTAAAAGTTAAGCAAGAAAATCACTAATTTCTATTATGTCGACCAACAGTACAATGACATGTGTTGTAAGCAGTTAAATGAGTGCTACACAATGAGAAATGGTGTGAGCAGGAAGTATCAATTAACTGGCAAAAACTGAAAATTATGGAAGTTTAAAGACATCTTCAAATTTTAAAGGGGAGAAGTTTGTTTTAAAAATAAATATATAAATAAATAAAATTATTTTTAAAAAGCAAGTCAAACATTTCAAACTAGGGAAAATAAACATAGATAAGGTAAGGAAAATTAGAAAAAAAAAAAAAAAAGTAAAAGTTAGCATGTCACCAAAATATTAAAATGGATCAGATGAGTGGGGAGAACTCTGCCAAGTAGAGTAGTCGGAGAGTATGTAATACTTTAAAAGAGAAGACAGGAAACTTGATATTGCCCTGTAAAGAAATGTGAGTCAGCACTTTAGGGCAGTGATTGCCACCTGTTGCTGACTACTGCTTTAGGGTACAGAAATTTAAAATGCATTATTAAGTCCTGAAGTGGTTGATGTATTAAGTGATTAGAGTGTCAGCCCTTACATTGAAGAGTTACAGGTTTGATTCCCTGTGAGAGGCAACCAATGGATATTTCTCTTTCCCTTCCACTCTCTCTAAAAATCAATGGGAAAAAATGTCCTTGGGTGAAGAGTAACAAAACAAAACGACACACAAAAATGCATTGTTAATTATATTCTCTTTGTGGAGGAAGTTGATCTTGGATTAACAGACATTACTAGATTGAAAATTATAGTTAAAAATTCATATTCCAAAATAGAATACTATCGTAGGAAAAACCAATGGTCATTCTTTTATAATAATATTAGAGACTGGTGGAGTCCTTCAGCCTGGCCTGCAGGGAGCGGGCCAAAACTGGCCCAGTGCACGGATTCATCCAGGGAGTATCCAGCCAGTCTTGCCAGTTCCGTTTGGGGTGATCACACAGGCTGACCAGGGAGGGACTGCGGGAGGTTGGCCGGCCAGGGAGGTTATATCAGAGGACTCCAGGGCGTGTCTGGCCCGTCTTGCCCAATATTGATCAACGGGACCCCAGCTGCAAGCTAACCTACTGGAGCATCTGCCCCATGATGGTCAGTGCGCATCATAGCAACTGTTCAAACAGCCTAACGAATGGTCAGATACTTAGCATATTAGGCTTTTTATTATATAGGATTTTGAAAAGTTAATTAGTTAATGGGGGAGGGAAGAAAAACTTCTAACAAAACAAAAACAGGAATACTTTTTTGTTTGGGAAATTCAAAGAAAAAAATTGCAAGTACAAGTTTAATTATATTATTAACTTAATTTAAAAACAACATATATATATATATTTTATTGATTTCAGAGAGAAAGGAAAAGGGAGAGAGATAGAAACATCAATGATGAGAGCAAATCATTGATCAACTGCCTCCTGCATGCCCCCCACTGGAGACCAAGCCCACAACTTGAGCATGTGCCCTTGAGCAGAATCTAACCTGGGACACTTCAGTCCGTAGGCTGACGCTTTATTCACTAAGCCAAACCAGCTGGGGCTAACTTAATTTTTCATACCAAAGTTCAGTTACAATATGCAAGAAGAAAATGTTCAAATTCAATGAATTTTTCCCCAGTTAATTTTCCAACTCAATGTTGAGAAAACAGGAGGCAGGAGGTAAATAAACAACAGTCAGAAAATCCAGGTCTCATCACTAGCAATGTGACCTTAGACAAATGCTGGATAAATTATTCCTCTATTTTCCCCCCCTACAATACCTTTGCTAAAACACTGTTGTGATAATTAGGTTAGATAACATATTTGAAAGCATTATTTAATGTAAACTATTATTAGAAATACCTTGCAGATTCTGGATCTAAAATCAGAGCTTCTATTGCGTGAGACATCAGCAAACAGCTCTGCTGCTGTCTGGATTAATGTTAAGGTTATACCTAAAAAGAAAGAAGTCTACTACAGACTTTATATTATTTGAATATTAACTAAGTCAAGGTGAGGATCGTATTTTTAGTGAAGATAACCATATGTTAGCGATTCAAATAGTCTGGGGCACTATTTTTTTTTTTAAAGGAATATATGGTGTCTGAAATAGTGATTTCCAAATTCTGTATGAGGAAGGATACTTCAAAGGGGGGCACCAAGCAACAGACTCTGTGATTCAATCTGTGTTAAATTTGCAACCTGTTTTCCTAGAGGTGGAGAAAGACCACCATTGAGTCACCACTTATTTAAAAAGCCTGGTTTAAGAAAAAAAGTAACATTATATTGCTTATATTAGATTGCAAAGTAGAAATTATTAATTGTAATAAATATATAGGCTTATCTAATATATTAGTCAAGCACATGTGAAGTCTTTGTTTAAAAGAATACTTCAAAAGAACAAGATATATCGGGGCAAGTTTAGGATACAGCTCTACATTCCTCAAAGTTGCCGAATCAGCATCAAAAGATGCCTGATAAAGATCCCCATATCGGGAAGCAAGGCTTCGGAATTCTTCCATAGATTGTTTCATCTACAAAGAAGGAAAAATATTAATTATAATAGACATCCTATCATTATTGTATAAACACAAAAATCAAAACTGTCAAACAAAAATATGTAAAAAATACTTCAACTGCTTTTCATTTTCATTCCATTCATTTTTATGAACCTTGTTAAATAAAATTAACAGAAGGAAAATAAAAATACAAATGTGCACAAGATTATGGTAATTTATATACGATGTATGGAAACAAAAAAATTTGCATTTTAGCTTCTTTTAAGTTCCACTAAAATAATTAATAGTTACTAACACCCCAAAGTTTCTTTAAAATGTCCTTTATCTTTATATAAATACAATATATAGCATTAAGTGAGACATCACTAATCACTTTGCCATTTTAATAAGATATCAGCTTATTTTTGGCAAGACAGATGAGTTAATAAGCACTTGATGTTGAATGATCATGAGTCAGCCATTGATTTGTAAATTTCAGGATTTTTCATCTTACAACTAATCTCAAAAAACTTTTAATGTAAACAAAAACTACACTGAAAATAGGTTGACACCTGCCTGATTAGAGATGCGACCACACCTCTGCAGTTCATTTCCCAACGTCATAGCGATTGTTGTGGCGATTGCAGGAGGGGGGCTTGTCTTTAGACTATTACAAGTACAGATAAGTTGAGAGAAGGCTTGCAGAAGGTCAATCCGGAGTTTTACAAATTCACACTGAAAACTTAAAGGATTCAGTGGTGTACTGGCAGCCTGAGGGGTAAAAAAAAAAAGAAAGATATTTTTACAACAAAATAAATATGGCAGCAAAATGGTGCAGTACACAAACAAGTTTTAAAGGCAATGATAATGCCCTATTTCCTAAACTGGGATATCTGTTGTATTTTTTTAAATATATACCCTACATAAAAATATGTAGAAAAATATATATATTCAATTCTTAATAAAGATGAAAAATTAAAATAAATTAAAATTCCACCATTGCAGGCAGAATACTAAAATGGTTCTTGAGTCACACCCCCTGGTACCCTGATCTCCACACCATGGGTCATCTCCCCTCTCGGAGTGAGGGTGGAACCTGTAACTCGATTCTTACTAATGAAATATGGCAAAGGTAATGAATGGATTTTGAGGATGTAATTTAGGTCCCTGATGAAGTAATTTCATATCAGTGAAAAGGGATATCATTCTGGATGGATTTCTCCCAATCTGATGAGCCCATGAAAAGGGCCTTGCAGGTGAGCAATTCTCCTGTTGGCCTCAAAGCTTCCACAGGTTCTAGAGCTGTGAGGAAATAAACTCTACCAACAACCACACGAGTTTAGGAGGGAACCCTAAGCCTCTGTGAGCCTCAGTAAGCCTGGCCCTGGCTGACACCTTGGTTGGAACTTTGTGACATGAGTTAAGCCATACCTAGACTTCTAACTCATGGAAACTGAAACACTAAACAGGTGCTGCTTTAGGCCACTAACTCTGTGGTAACGTGTTACATACCACAGAAAATAAATACAAATACTTTTTACAATTTTTATTCCTAAAAAGCAAGGTAAGTCATTAATCACTGTTTTGGGAAATTAAGACACCCAACATTGCTATCAGATCCCCATAAGCAGAGAATTCTGAACTTCTCCTGTTTAGTTTGGTTGAAGCAGGTAAAAAGCACAATCCTCATAGCTGTACCATCTCAGGTGAGACCACTCCTGTGTCCGGGAGAATAAAGGGCAGCCAGCGTTCATGTCCTCTCAGTAACAATGACAGACAGCTAGTGTCCGATCCATACTTGCCAAATGAATAGAATACAAATAAATCTTTTTAATACAGAGCAAGTGCTTATAATTTGTTGAATAAAACTCCAGTTCAGCCGAAGCTGGTTTGACTCAGTGGTAGAGCGTCGGTCTGCGGACTGAAAGGTTCCAGGTTCAATTCCGGTCAAGGGCATGTACGTTGGTTGCGGGCACATCCCCAATAGGGGGTGTGCAAGAGGCAGCTGGTCGATGTTTCTCTCTCATCGATGTTTCTAGCTCTCTATCTCTCTCCCTTTCTCTCTGTTAAAAATCAATAAAATATATTTTTTTAAAAACAAAACAAAACTCCAGTTCACCCTAACCAGTTTGGCTCAATGGATAGAGCATCAGCCTGCAAATGAAGGGTCCTGGGTTCGATTCTGGTCAAGGGCACATGCCCGGGTTTCAGGCTTGATCCCCCGTAGAGAGTGTGCCGAAAGCAGATGAACAATGATTTTCTCTAAAAATCATTGGTGTTTCTATCTCTCTCCCTCTCCCTTACACTCTAAAACCAATAAAAATATATTTAAAATGTTTTAAATAGTAATAATGAGAGAAAAGAACTCCATTTCAAAAAGAAAAGATCTGAGGTTCAAAAACCTGCTTAGGTCACAATTTGTTAATGGCAGAGTAAAAACTAAGAAAAGGGCCTTCTGTCTGTCAACCGAGTATTTTGTTAATTACTGACAAGCCTCATTAAATACACATACCACACAAATCATTAAAAGACTATTAAAAATTCAATAGAGGTTTTCATAATATTAAGTCTATCAACCTTTGTGAGCCTGTTTTATAGTTCTTAGCATTTACTGTACTGAATGATTAACAATTCTCTGCTCCACATAAACTAGAAAATGAAATAATTCTATTGATCAGAACCAATAATTGTAACTTCTGATTTTTTGAGGCATTTATTAGCCTGATATAGGCAACAACAATCTTTTCCTAGGATAATCAAGAGGGGAAAAAAGCTTAGCATTCAATGCTACTTTTTAACATGGAGAGGAGCCCTGTTTTAAAATAGAAACGAATCCTAAGCAGAAAAATTGTACTTCAAAAGATATGCTCCCACAGTAGTCTAAATATTCTGTCTCTTTTGTGCCATCTATTTATTCTATGTTCTACTTTAAAGCATTTCTTTTAGGATGTGCCACCAGTACAAATATTTTAGATTATGTGATAAATGTATATAAACTGTTACCAAAGGTTTTATGGCCCCATCGAAATATATACAATTTTAAAAATCGATTGACAATGTTTTAAAAATGTTTAATGTTGATTATATAAACTCTTTACTCTTAAAGGGGAAAAGTTCTTGCATTAACACAGAAAATGCTCAGTTAGGAAAACAGGTTCTTACTTAAGAATATAACTGATTTAAAGGAAACATAAGATATGTTAAATGTCTGTACCCCCTTCACTTTCTTAGCCAAACAATGAAAAAAATTTAACTGGCTAACTTCATTTGGAATGGGAGGGAATCATAGATGGAGGGTGGGGGGAACACTCGCCAGCATCCTTAATAATTTCTTCTTTATCCATAAAGCCAGAAACTCTAGTTTCTTAGTGAGTAGCTTTGAGGTCTGAGATGGAAGGGGGATTTATGTTGATAGTGATAGTGACTCAGGCTGGGGTGTTATTAATAGGATTCTGGAAAAGAAGGATCATATCTCCACTTATCCCTTCTGAATGGATTCAGCAATCTTCTTCATATATGGTTCATGGTACTTGATAAAAACAAAATGAGAAACCCATCTATCTATGAATATTAAAAAGTAGATGAGGGGTTAAGGATTTACTTCCATGTCCTATTTATTACTTTAATATTACATTCATATATATATATATATATATATATATATATATATATATTCAGTCCTTAATTACTGCCAAGCCTCATTAAATACACATACAAGTCATTAAACGACTAATAAAAAAATATATATATATATATAGTGTCAGATGCTTCAGGGTAGTTAAAACAGGATAATAAAAAGAAAAGGGAGGCCATTCTTACACATGTCATCATCACCAAAGGAGAATTAAGAGGACTTACTGTTAAGGATGCAATCCCTTTGTGGTAGAATTTTAAAGACTCAGCAATGCAAGAAAGTGCTGAACTATAATTCTCCTCTTGCAACCCAGTGAGACACTGTTCTGCATGTGAGAACTCCTTCAAACTGTTTAGCCAGAAGTAGAAGTGTTCTGAAGCAACCTGAGTCAGCAAACTCTGATAGAGCTCTCTGGCCATGTCATGGTTACCCTAAAAAAATAAATTAAAAAAATCATGGCACATAATGAAGTTCTTATAATTTAATTAGCAGCTAAAAGACAAAGCGAAATCTTAGATAAGCTGTAACAATAATTCCTTGTATTATATAATTCTTTGAGTTTCAGTATTTTCTCAGACAACATATGCTGAGTTGCTTTTATATAACCTAGTGCTTACAGTTCTTTACTAAGACAGTTCCAAAGAGAAAATAAAGGAATTAACTACAACCTGAGTCTAGAATTTTAGTTCAAAATATGCCAAGTATAAATGGAAAATGTGTCTTTTGGTATGAGCTACTCAGTAGGGATAGGGGAAAACTCCAGTAAGCTCTACTACGGGACTATCAAGAAGAGTACTGCGCTTGCTTCTGGAAATGACTGGGGGGAAGGGTGGTTGTTGGGGGGATGTGAATGTCATTTACCTGCTGAGGCCCAGGGATGTTCAGAGTCCTGCAGTGCTTGGATGCTTGGGGCAGTTGGGTATAATAAAAAATCCCATCCTGTCAGTCCTCCTCCCATTTGAGAAACAATGAGAACATGTGCTTCAATTACCTAACAGTGTTTCCCAAATTTTTGACATATGTGTACCCCTTCTATAATTTTCATAACGCTGAGTACCCCTCGTACTCATGAGAACGTAGAATTAGGCGCAGCTAAGCACGGTGCAGTGCATATCCCCACCAAACTCCGGTGCAACGCGTACCCCCACCAAACTCTTCCCGTACCCCTGGGGGTACGCGGACCACACTTTGGGAAACACTGACCTAGAATAATGCTTTTCCAACTTTGCTTTCTGGACTTAACAATAACAGGTTTCTATACTATCCAAAGCTCTGTATTTCTTTCCTATCAAACAAAATTAATGAAAATTGTTGGGCTTTGCATATGGTTGAGAAGAGAACAGCATACTAAAACTTTCCTGTTTCTACACAAGAATGATAAGTTTGGAGAGAGAAAGGAAATAAACAATGGTGTATTAACAAAGGAGGACAGACATGGTGGGTGGGAGGTGACTGTGGTTATGAAAGCATCAGGCGAAATGAAAGTGGTACTAACAACCTGCAGCCAGAAAGAGCTCAGATTTTTGGAATTCACGTGGGACTTTCCCATAACAGATATGGATCACACATACCATTCTGGATGCCTGTCTGGCAATTCGGTACACAGTCCATCCATTGGAGACGCTTTCAAGCTGCTGCTTAATGACTGCCTTTATTTCAGCAGATAGTGCTTTCTGACTGGCAACAAAAATCACAGTGGCCAGACTCACCTGACATTGAGCAAGAAGATAGACAATTAGAAAAATCATGTAATTCTACTCAATGTCACAGATAGCTTTACCCAAAAGGAAGGAAAACTAATGACAGTCCATCAAATAAGAAAACACTTGTTCTCCTTTGACATTTACTAATTTTTCACTTTGAAGTTATAGAGCAATTTATTCCATTGTTCAATTGTTTATAATTCCCATAAATATGGATAAATTATAAAATCACAATGAAATGCTATGCAGCAGTGAAATGAGTAAACTAGAGATACACTTTCAATATAGATGATTTAAACAAAATAGGAAAAATACAAAAGATACATGCAGTAGGGTAGCATTTATATAAAATTAAAAATATGGAAAATAATAGTGCATGCTACTTTGTATATATACTAAGGTAGTGAATATATAATAAATACATAGGAATGAAAAACACCAAATTCACGATAGTGGTTACCTCTAGAAGGCAGATGTAAAGGGAAGTACAAATCAACTGTACTGGTAAAAAATTTTTCTTAAGCCAGGGATGGATGCAAGGGTTTTCAACATGTAATTCTTTATATTTTTGGAATAGTATGTTTCATAATGGCTTTAAAGTAATACTAACAAAAAAGGGATAAAGAACATTGGTTGAAAATGCTGCTTCAATAAAAAATAAACTTGGCCAACTGCTTCTTAGTATTCCAAAGCTGATATAAACCATATATTATTGTGGTGACTGAATGATGTCATTCCCAAGACCAGTGCCACTTGGATCTGTAGATGGGAGGGAGAAGAATGAAGTTGGACTATTTATTCCCTGGTTCCCTTTCTGCAGGGCCACGTCGTGTTCACTGAAGATCAATTTTTCAAAGCGGCCCTAGTGACATGACTCCAGGTTTCTGGTAACCACTCCCTCCCCTGCATCCTAAAGGCGTGAGGACTGCATTACCACAGACAGTTTACCCTGCCCATATGTTTGTAAATGGTTCCTCCATTAAACACTCCTTGTATTATTTTAAGTGTAACATCTGTTTCTTGCTGAGATCTTGTTAGATACAGCAGAATTCAATAAAAATCTGCTCAATAAATGAGTGATGCTTCCTTCTAGAGTTAACCCTTTCTGCAGTAACCCTTTCCTGATAGCAAATAATGAAAGGGGTAATCTATTACAGAATATGCCTTGGAGCAGCAGTCGCCAACCAGTGGTCTGTGAGGTCCCAAAGGTTGGCAACTGTTGGTTTAAGGCAGTGGTCAGCAAACCGCAGCTCGCAAGCCACATGCAGCTCTTTGACCCCTTCAGTGTGGCTCTTTCACAGAACGCACATGCGGGCATGCACGTATGTGATTGAAACTTCGTGGCCCATGTGCAGAAGTCGGTTTTCAGCCTGGGCTAGTCTATTTTGGAAGGCAGCTATGCTCACCACTATACCACCAACGCTGGGCTAGTCTATTTTGAAGAAATGGCGTTAGAACACTCCAGAGGCCAAAGAGCCGCATGTGGTTTGCGAGCCACGATTTGCCGACCACTGGTTGTCTGTGAGGTCTGAAAGGTTGGTGACTGCTGACCTGGAGGATGACATATAAATGAGGCTTGAGTAAGCAATTTCATTAAGCTTTTCCCAATCCCTAAATTCAGATGACCAGAAACAATATGGAGTGGCCAACTTAAGGCTTACGTCTAATTTATGCCTATTTAGCATGTAGCCTACACTCAGCCTGGTAGAACTTTCAGCTAAATAATATGATCACTTCCATGGCTTCTGTTTTTTAACAAGCACACACCTTTCCCAACCCCAGGTTTAAACTTAAACCTAAATTGGATCCTAAACAGCTTCAGAAATCCTGGGTTGGAAAAGAGGAATGTGTGCTAATCTCTGGTAGCTGTTATCATCAGGTCTTTAACTTGTATTTTTGGAAGTGCAAAACAGGGTATAGTTCATTATTTGCTTTGTATAAAGAAGAAAAATCCATTATCATTTTGTCCTTTGTAATAGAACAAATGCATCAAATTGAAGGCTTTGGCTACACTAAGCTGACTCGACAGGGCGTAGAAAGAAAGAAGTTTTAGATATGAACTAAATAGGACTTTTCTAAATCAAAAGGAGAAATAATGAAAAGCTCATGGTTCCAATTCTATTTTGACTTCAGCATTCCCTCGGTCTTAGATAATTACTTTACACCTGTTGTTTATTTTGCTTTGTAAGCAAAGTCCAACAGTAAAGCTAACTACACTAGACTAGATCTTATTCACCATCAAAAAGTGACTCTGGCCAAAACCGGTTTGGCTCAGTGGATAGAGCGTCAGCCTGTGGACTGAAAGGTCCCAGGTTCGATTTCGGTCAAGGGCATGTACCTTGGTTGCGGGCACATCCCCAGTAGTGGGTGTGCAAGAGGCAGCTGATCGATGATGATTCTCCCTCACTGATGTTTCTAACTCTCTGTCCCTCTCTCTTCCTCTCTGTAAACAATCAATAAAATATATTAAAAAAAAAAAAAAAAAAAAAAAAGTGACACTGTCTGTACCAGAAGTTCCTGCTGCTTGTCTGTGGCTGACCGTCCGATGACCTTGTAGAGCTCCATGAGGTCGCCCAGCATCCCGTCGCCCAGCACGGGCAGCTGCATGGCAATGGCGGCCAGGCAATGGCACATCAGGATCCGGGCGGCGTCCTGGGCACTGTGCAACTGAGTCAACAGGGTCTCAACTACGGACTGGCTGAGATGGGGTCTGCCCTTGGCCAACTTCACCATACACTTCAAAGCAATCTGCACATTGGAAACAAAACAGACCACTTACACTGTGAAGGTATTAAGCTGTAAAGAAAAGAACTTTGTATGAAGTACTGGGAAAAAATCAAGGAAAAGTTGTGTGTGTTTTTTGGTAGGCATAACATTTTTCTTCATAAGAATCACATGACATAATGGATCCCGTATTAGGATATGCAAAATGCACCATGTTTAATACCAAATAACACGTCAGGACTGCACACTAATCACTCATTGCAATCTAATACTACTAGGAAATCATAAAAAACAATGTTGAAGAGGCAAAATATATGCCAAACTGTCTGTACTTTCATTACTTATAAGAAATGCCTCTAAAATGTGGTTTGTAAATTTATCAATGCCATCATCTTCCTATGCTGCTAAAAATAGATTCCTCGGTATTACCCACCCCAAACTTAGATTTTCAACCAGTATGGTGTGGAATTTTTAAAATATGCAATATTTAGTCAGGAACACTGACCTCTTTTCCCTTAGATTGTCAAATAAAATAAAATGATAACACCCAACAGAAAAATAGCTGTACAGTATGAATGAATCAATATTATACCTTTTTTGTTTCAGATTGGCAAAAATTATATTCTTTGGTATGCTGCAGAATTTTAGTAATTAGTTTGTATGTGTCATGAGATGAAAAAGGTTAAAAATTGATTAACTATTGTCCTTGGGCCAACTCCTGGTCTGTTTTTTTTTGTAAATAACACACACCCCTCTTTTGTACATAATGTCCATGGCTCTTTGTTCTACAAAGGTAGAAATGAGTAGTTGGAACAATGAGTGTATAGTATATAATCTGCAAAATATATTTACCATCTGACCTTCTATAGAGAGATTGTCAATTCCTAGCTTAGGCAATGAAAATAGCATTATATTAAAATAAGTGATGTTTTCACCTTTAAAGTGGCTTGAGCACCTGGACTGTCATCTTGACTACAAAGTACCAGAAGGGATTCCAGGCCAAAAACAGCATCTTGCTCCAGTGCTAATAGGTCTAGAGGAAAAACACTAAGTTTTATAGTAGTCAAGTAGAAAAAATTAAATACACAAACACATATACATACACACACACACACATACACACACACACACAAAACATTAAGGAATCTAAAATACAGGAAATACCTCAATAAGCAAAGCTAACCTTCCTGAAAAAGTAATTTGGCAACATTTCTGAAAAGTAAAAGCTATTTTCAGACTTCTGTATTTTTACTACTTTAGAGAAGATTATAAAAACATACACATTAAATTAAGAGCTAAAGCTTCAAAGGTTTAAATAAAGCATAGTAACTAAAATACTATCACCAGATTAGCTGAGGAAAATACTAGAAAAAGCAAACCATATAGAATGTATTAATCTTTCTAATCAGATATAAATTATATAGATACATTTTCACCTAGAATGTTATAACTTTCAGCTCCCAATGAAAGCTGAACCACTTATTTATTATTTTTCTGCATCTGATGTACATGTTCTTGAATGGGAATCAAACCTGCAACCTGTAGGCGGGTGTTCTAACCATTGAGCACCCAGCCAGGGCACTGAGACACTTTTAGAAAATAATGAGGACCCACATAAAACATAATCATATTAATGTTTTAAGTTGGACCATAAAGAACAAATCCCTTATATGTTTAATGTAATAACAGTTTTTCAGCAATTCTTACTACCTTAGAGCTAAAGTTTCTCTGGAGGTTCTAAAAAGTTCTGAATATATTAGCTAACTATATTTAGGTTAATATATGTCAGCATTAAGAACATATAGCAGTTTTCTACATTACATGTTGGAAAATACTCATTACTATGCCAAAAGTAAAAACGGTTTAAATATTCAAATCAGAATCAATAAATAACTTAGAGAAATGTCTCCTGAGTTAGTGTAGGGCTTGGCAAAACGTGTAAAGGCTAGTATTATAAATAAAAAAAATCAGTACCAGGAACAAGCAGTGAAGGCACTAAGCATATGATCCTTACTAAAGATCAGAAAACACTGAAACAGGTGGAATGTCCAAAATGCATTTCCTGTTTCTGAACATCAGCCTGAACTTCTCCAAGCCTTTTGGTCAAAAGATATTAGGAATACAATAAAATATATGCATTATTTTCTATGCATGCCTTTCTTAAATATACAAATCAGTTTAATGCTCTAGATACCTAGAAATAAAGTCCTTGAAAATTTAATTCACATTGCTCTGTTAATTCACTTGCCTCTAGATGAAACTATTTGTTAATTAAGCTTCTTGATAACTTAAGATATTTTTTCCTAAATTTTCCAGGCTTTTGTACAGCTGAACAAATTGCTTTATACCAAGGGTAGTCAGTCAGCAGTCCCTAGCCACAGCACCGTATGTGTAAAGGTAAACAGTGGAACAAAATAGGAAACAGTCCACAGAACCTTTCAATTCCACAATCCCAATCCCAAGGTCCTCATATTTTAAAAAATATTTTGAAGGATTAAGTAGTTTTGAGAAAACTTGCTCTAAGAATCCTTCAGAAGGAGACAACTAGTAGATCTAAGCACACTGGCTAAAAATAATAAGGGATTATAAAAACCAAACACAGATAGAAATCTGCCCAAGCTTACCTTTTTCTTGACAAGAGACGGTTATATTAGTGAGGACTCTGACTCCATGAGCTGCAATGCCTCTGTTGTTATGGTAACAGCACTCTTGGGCTAATTTGACTAAATCAGAGGATCTGGGGGAAGAACCCACATTTCCTGAACAAGCAGAGAAAAGCAGTACAGACTTTTACTTCACGTGAACATTACCTAGTTTAGTTATTTAAGTCTTTTGTTTAATCACACTTATAACCTGCAATTTAATAAAATTCAATAAAAAGACAAAACATCTAGCATGAAAAGTGTTTGATTATTATAACCTGACACAATGCTTACAAAATGTTTTTGGCATTAAAAAATAAAGAAAAAGAAAGTCATCTTGCATCAGATCAGTTTACTATTATAAAAAAGAATACTAATTCAGAATTCCTAGGCTCAAGCCTAGGCTTAAGCACTTCCTAAGTATGTGCCATTGAACTATCAAAACATTTTAAACCCCAGTTTCAAAACATACACACTCCTATGCATGTGCCTCACTACAGAAGCAATGAGACCTTGTATGGAAAGGCTCTTACAAATGATACGATGCAATTAGTATTCTGTTTACAGTTCTTTTAAAGTGCAATGTCAATCAGAAATATTAAATAACTGCAAGCTAAGAAATTGAGATTGTTTGACTTGTGCAGATTGTTGATTAAGAGACTGACAATCCCGCCTAGCCCTGTAGGTGTGCACCATTGCAATATAACTCCAATTCCTCACATCAAGAGGTGTTTATTTCTCCACCTATCTGGGCTTGGCCATGTGACTTGCTTTGTCCAATGAGATATTAAAAAATATGTGTAAGCAAAAGTCTAAAAAGTGCTTGTGTGTTGGTGTTTTGCCTTCTTTTGGCTGCTGCTATCACCCTGAGAACATGAGATAGCCCAGGCAAGTCTGCTGAGAGTCACAAGGTAGAGAGAACCAAGGTGCCTCAGCTAAAAGCCACTTAACCTCTAGCTGGTGAGTGAGGCCATTGTAGACCATCTAGTCTGATCAAGGCTCCAAGTGACTGTAATCATATGCGTGAGCTAACGTGAGACCAGCAGAACCGCCCAGCTGACACTAGTCAAAATTACTGACTTGCAGAAGCAGAGCAAATAGAGCAAATGAAATGGTCATGGCTTTAGGCCACTATTTTGAGGTGATCTGTTCTGTAGCAAAAGGTAACTGATACAGAGCACCTCACAAAATTACTGGATAGACTAGAAAACTAAGCTTGGGGGAAAAGGTGAAATCACAGCCCAAACTATCCATGGAATTAGTTCCAGTGAAGATAATGCCACTGTTAATGACATTTTAATGTCACAGCTTACCCTGCTGCCCAAGGTACAAGACATAGCAAACAACCACTGCTACAGTGTGCCCTGGAAACCAGAATGTATTCATCCACATCACTACTCCTTGGTATGTAAATGACTAGGCAAGTCCAGGGCACAAGTGTGCACCCTAGTGGCAGGAAGGCTTGGCTATAGAATATCAGGTCTTTTCAGAGTCCTACTGGAACTTATGTGTCAGGGAATTTTCCTTACTACGTAAGTCCATATGCAATGAAAAAATAAAAAGGAACAATGTACATTATAGTTCTTTGATTAATTGACTACAAAAGGAAGCAATAAAGATTCCACAACATTAGCATTAAAACAAAACAACGAAAACACTTTAGCCTGAAGTCAGTTAGGTAATTAAACTCCTCACTGGACATTAATAAAGGTATTGTGGAGTTAATTCATCTTGAATTAGGCAACCCAGGAAAGCATTACTGAACTGGGGTAGAGTTTTATTTTAATCATTTTCCAGAGTGATAACATACACCTAAAAGGTAGCATGACATTTGCTTTTAAAATTCACCATCACTTGGCCTTTGAAATGTTCTTAACTTCAAAGGGCACTTTGAGTCACAGACATACAAAAGCAAACCAGCTATTTTAAGCATCCTCAAAAATATCGTTGCTCCCACATATAATTCAAAAAAGAACAAATATAGGAATATAATATCCTTGAGTTAAGATCAAGGATGCAAGATTTTATTACCAGGAGCAGTAGTTAAGAAATAATTGTCAAATAAATTACTACCATATAACAAAGCAGGAGACCAAAACCTTTCCAGATGCTAAAGCTGGATAAAGGAAACCACCTGAAACACCAATGTGAATACAGGGATTAGCACACCATCTGTGATATTTCTCCTTACCTGAAGCTATGCTGAAATAGTGCTTGACTGCAATGGTCCCTGAGAGTGTGGACAGGACAGACAACATCCCCAGTTTCAAGCTGTCATAAGGAGTCTGGAGGGCACATTCACAGAGGGCCTGAAACGCAGAAGAAAAGGAACACAAAACACAAGATGCTAGTTTCAATATACTTTAAAACTGTCTACTCATTTTAAATTGTCTAGCTTTTAGAAAAATTGTGTATGAATGTCTTTTTTTCCATTATAAAAAACTTATGTCAAACTGCCACAACCAAGAGGAGCCTAAGGAGGCATGTTAACTAAATATAATGCATTATCTTGGGTGGGATCATGGAACAGAAAAAGGACAAAGGTAAAAATTAAACCTGAATTAAGTATGAAGCTTGGTTAATAATAATAATGTATCAATATTGGTAAATTCTAACAAATGTACCACTTTAATATAAAATAGCAATAACAGGGAAGTGGCTATGGGGTGTGTAGAAATCCTCTGTAGTATTGTCTCCATTTTTCTGTAAATCCATACCTGTTCTAAAAAATAAAGACTATTTCTCAGAAAGTCATCATGTGTACTGTTCAGTCCACCATATTTTGTTTACCTAAGAGTTATGAATAGCAGTTCATAGATGTATGTATTTTTTAAAATAGCAGAGTGTGACATCCCATCTAGTTTATAAGTGAGTGAGCTCTCTATCCTCCTCCCATTTTAGGACATTTCCTCTCCTCTGCTCTGGACTCAGGTGGTCTGAAGTGTTACCAAAAACCATATGCTAGTTTTTCTTACAATGTTAGTGAGCTATAAACATACACTCAGCCTCATTCTGTATATTTACTATCAGAACTCTGACAAGACTGCACATGATATAAATAGTCACGTAACTAACTGCCTATTAAACTGAACTAATAGCCATTCTCTCACAAAGTTCCAGAAAGTGAGTAAAACTTAAAGAGTAGGGAGAAAGTTAAAAATAAAACTTCAGAAAAGTTAAACAATAAATGTAATATGACCCAAATAAAAAAACTGGCAAAACTGGGGAGGGGAGGTGGATAATCCTGCTTCTAAAGATCCAGAAAAATTCTGACAAAGTATACTGAGAGGCCAAAAAAAAAAAAAAAAAAAAAAAAAAAGCCCTAATAAATATTAAAATATATAATAGTATATTATTTTCCTATATAAATTATTAATGTTTAAAGTTATTATTAATGTTCAAACATACCTGAATGTTTTCCCTACTCCACGTGTGTGGTGTTTTATTGGCAAGTAATTTCAGATCTTGAATAGCAAGTCTCTTTACTGCTTTCCTGGGGTCATTCTTCAAATACTGTAAGAGAAGCTGGATCTATAAAAGAAAGTCACTCAGTTAACAGTACTGTCACATAAACTATCTTTTTTGGATGCAATGGAGTTTAGCAAAACATTTAGACTTGAGACAGGACTCATTTCAAATTGCAGCTCTGTCATTTACCAGCTATATGCCCATGTGTAGGTCTCTTTCTGACTGTGTATAAAATGATACTATCCTTTAACTTGTACAGTTCCAGCAAAGCACCTGGCCTTTCACACTCAAACTTTTCTTTTCTTTATGCCCCATGCTCTGCCATCTACTCACCTCTACCTCATTTCCTCGAGAGATCCCCAAAATTAGAATTGTGAATATAAATGAGCAAAAGGTAATTAAACAGATCTTTATTAAAGAGAATCTTAATACTAAAATTTATGGGTTACTTATTTTTTATCCTATATTTAAATATGCAAATTTAGTGAAGACAAGACAGTTGAAAGAAAACTGAGATCACCTGCTTAGGAGTATCCACCAGAGACGAAGCTGCCAGCAGAGTAAAAGTGTGCAGAGAAACGATCACCATTTTGGTGGAAGGATAGGAGGTGACCAGCTGCTGCAGAAGCTGACGAGCGCTGGAGGCCAGGATGGCATCATGGTGCATGTGCTGCAGGATTGGGATCAACTTCAGCTTCAGGTCGACTGGTGTGGCTAAGCCTAGATGCGAAAAGCATTCTTAAGCTTTCTGACCATCATCCTTGATAATAGCTCACATTTAAAAGGTCTGAATCAATTGGCACAATATTCATTTAAAAACAAATAGGATACTAATATTATGTTTATAACATTAAAGATAATTGTGAGAGATAATCCATCAATGCAATAGTTTTGTCCAAAAATATTTATCTTAACATTAATGTTTCAGTGACTATAAACAATATCCAATAGAAAATGCCTTTAAAAGGCACAGTGGAAAACAGTCATTTTGCTGCCTATTTCTTCTCATAGCATACTGAAAAGCATCTATATATATACACACACACAAACTCAATGGCTAAAAATTTTATGATTTTTATAATTTTAAAAATGGTGTCTTTCAACACTAATAGACTGCAGGAATGGTTGTGAAGTTCTCTGAACTTTGTGTAGCAATGCCTTTCTTTACTGCATACACAGCTGAACTCTATGAAGATGAACTCCAATGTATCTTTTTTCTGTCAACAATAGAGCTAAACAAACAAACAAACAAACAATATTTTTTTCAATAGTATTGCTTTGTGGTGATAGAGAGCAAAAATTGTCAGTGGTGCTGTATATATGTAAGAATCTAATTTATACTCTGCAAATCATTCACTTTCCCATTGTAAAATAAATGTCAACATATGATAGCATTTCAACTTTCAACAGTAGTTCACATCAACAAACTCCCATGCTATTTGGTCTCTATTTGGGTTTGGCCAAAGCACAGAACCCCAGGAGATGGGAGGGAGAAGAATGAAGTTGGAGTATTTATTCCCTGATTCCCTTTCTGCAGGGCAACGTCATGTTCACTGACGATCAGTTTTTCAGAGTGGCCCTCGTGACATGACTCCAGGTTTCTGGTAACCATTCCCTCCCCTGCATCCTAAAGGGGTGAGGACTGCATTACCACAGACAGTTTACCCTGCCCATATGTTTGTAAATGGTTCCTCCATTAAACACTCCTTGTATTATTTTAAGTGTAACATCTGTTTCTTGCTGAGATCTTGTCAGATACAGCAGAATTCAATAAAACTCTGCTCAATAAATAAGTGATGCTTCCTTCTTAAAGATAGCCCTTTCTGCCGGGACCAGTTTGGCTCAGTGGAGAGAGTGTCGGCCTGCGGACTGAAAGATCTCGGGTTCGATTCTGGTCAAGGGCATGTACCTTGGTTGCAGGCACATCCCCAGTAGGGGTGGTGCAAGAGGCAGCTGATCGATGATTCTCTCTCATCGATGTTTCTGTAACTCTCTATCCCTCTCTCTTCCTCTCTGTAAAAAATCAATAAAATATATATTAAAAAAAAAAAAAAAGATAGCCTTTTCTGTAGGAAAGTCCTTTTAGGATGGCGAGAGAAAAGACAAAGGAATAAAGGGGAACAGGACAAAACTCAACCACTGTATCTTGGCCTTCACTTAGGTGACTTTATTTCCTTTTCTGTAAAACAGCATTAACTACCAACATCTGCCAAGCTGCACAATTCAAAAGAATGTGGTAAAAATCAAAGGATGTGGTGTTCTCTAAAGTTGTCCAATGCTGTAGCCTGAACTCCCTTTTAAATGGGGTTAGTACACATGAACCATAGCATGGAAGATGACATTAGAAATCTTGGCCATTGTAGACTATAAAAAGGAATTTGCATTTTAGTTGTAACTGAAGACAGTGGAGGGACATCAGTACAGTGACGAGAGACGAGAGAACCCCAGAGCTTCTAATGGCACTGCCATCCCCCAAATCATTATCTGCATTTCTCACTCAAATATCACTTCATCAGAGGCCTTCCATGAGCTACATATATAAAATAGAAAAGTTCCACCTTACCATCTACCCTAGGGATTTACTATCCACATTACTTCTCTCGGTAGCACTAAATATGTCATATTTTTAGTTGTCTGTTGCCACCCCTCCTCCTTCCACCACTAGAATGCAGGTTTATGTGAGGGCATGGGCTTTGTTTTATTCACTATGTTATCCTAAGCACCTAGAAAAGTTCTGGCATTTAGAAGATACTTAATAAGTATTATGTGAATTAATAAATTAGTAAGTGATTAGCACATAACAAGTATTTAATAAATGTTAGCAGCTATTTTTAATATACTAATAAATCCCATTAAGTCACTTCATAATAGTAAATAAGACACACATACCTTGAATCATTTCACTGATTTTGTTACAGATTCCCACAGCAAAATCCCTTTGGAAAGAGAGAACAGAAAAAATTTTAAAACCAAATAATTAAACTTTTCTAAGGACTTAAAAGAAACACAACGCAATCAACAATGGAGAAATGCCAACAACGTACTCCAAAGTATAACTAATATTCCAAATGTCAGGTGGTAGGGGTGCGATAAGAAATGCAACTGAAACCAAAACTCCAATTGGCAAATGGGGTCATGCCAACACTGTTCTCACTTGGTATTTGAGGAAAGATGCTCTGATTTACGAGTGCTGTTGCAATTTGCATCACTGAGTGATACTGTCAGAAAGATTCAAGGTCACTATCTCAGCCTATTATGCTTTAGGATATATTTTTAAATTAAGAAAAGCTCTTACTACACAAGCTGACTACATAAGCAATTAAAAACTATTTCTAATATTCTAAATTTTAGAAAAACAAATAGAAACACCTTAGGAAATATGAATAGGCTCTTACTATAAAAGCCAAACTAACATTAGCCATGTGTTTTTAGCTTTACATATGTGTTAAGTATTTTGCAGGGTGCTGCTTTTGATTCTATATAATAGAAATATCACAGAATGTTGCAAAGGTATTAATAATATGAATATAAGATAAAATATAATATGTAAAGAAACATAGAGTAATACAATCAAACCTGGCTTATTTAGCCATAATAAATGATACATAAGACATAAACTACTTCTCCTCTAAACTAATTCAATGGATGTCTAAATAAAATATTTCCTGCTATTAAGATATGATTTTTTACTTTTTTATTTTTATTTTTTGTAAAAATATATTTTTATTAATTCTTTACAGAGAGGAAGGGAGAGGGATAGAGAGCTAGAAACATCGATGGGAGAGAAACATCGATCAGCTGCCTCTTGCATACCTCTTGCACTGGGGATGTGCCCACAACCAAGGTACATGCCCTTGACTGGAATCGAACCCGGAACCCTTGAGTCCCCAGGCCGATGCTCTATCCACTGAGCCAAACCAGTCAGGGCTGATTTGTTATTTTTAATTTCATTCTCACAAGTGAACAGTAGAGTTTTCTAGAAGTTACATAATATATGACATCATCTATTGACAACTAATGGACTGCATCATTGTATATTCATCTGTTTTCTAGAATTTTCTCTGGTAGTTTAGTGTATAATTGTGTTTTCTGAAATTAATTATTTCTTTTCAATTATTCCATTGTGCTCTTACTCTCTTTAACTACGTTCATTATGTTTGTAACCTTATTATCGTCCAGTACATCATAATTCTGAAATCTTGATGTTTTTCTTATGTCTATGCAGAAACATATCAAGAATTATACTTTGTTGTGCTTTGCAGTAAAATTTTGAAAGGATTTTCTAAAATTGCTTTTATCAATAAAAATATATTTTAAAAAATTGCTTTTGTTTTAGAATTTAGAATATTTAATTCTAAAATTAATTTGCAAATTATTGTTCTTATACTTAAGAGTGAGTTGGCTTGAGAGATTTGAAGACATTTTCTCAACTGAATGCAACTAAGTTCACCATAGTCGCCAGTAGAGAGCACTTCTCTCATTGACAATGCTCCCCTAGCCCTTGAAGGCAACTGTGATTGAATGCAACTTCTATTTTATGATTTGGACTAGTCCTTTAAAAGTATAAGATCTTAACCTTTGTGAGAACAAATCAGATATGGTTATGGTAGTAGACAGCGGGAGAATAGAATTAAATTCTCAAGGTCTTATTTGGCCAGTTACTCTTATTTATTTAAGATCCAAAACTGGTAAATTAAATTAAGATAAAAATACATCAATTAGTATTAGTTGAGATATCTGATCTTCTGCCAGGTCATCTTTCTCTGGAGAAAGAGGTAAACTATAATCTCAAAAAGATACATTTTGTTTATTTCACATACATTTAGATAGGTCCTTTAGGCTTTTTATTGAACTAATTTGGTATTTTTAGTATTACAAATTATAAGTGTATACCGAAGCCTGGTATATTGAAAACTGCTTCTACATAATTGTTAATTTAAATGTTTACTGGTCATCAATTCTTTAAATGGTGTTTCTAGGTTAGTTAGTCTTAATCATTTCATAACACAGACCAGAAATTCTACAGCTGATAAAATTACCTTATGATAACAGGAGAAAAAAAGTGAATAAAAAATGGTTCTCATAAATAAAATCTAATCCCTAAGTGATAAACTTATTTAGAAACTACATTTAAAAACTACTTTTGGAGTCGCTGGAAGTATGTATTTAATCTAACATTATAAAGTACTGAGACCTTGATAGTGCTAATCAGGTGTGAATAACTCACTAGATAATACCTCCAATCATAAAAGCAATTTTTAAAAAGCTATCCATATCAATGATTTTCTCAACAATAAAAATATTTGCCAATTTTCAAACGCACCAATAGGAACTGTATTTATTCAGATATTTCTCTTCTTCCATTACTGCCATTTCTACTAATTTACAGTAGTAAATTAAAAATTGTATGCTTTCTATTCTCTACCCTCCTTTCCCGATGAGTCATCTTGAACTTCTAAAGGTTTGAAAAGACAGCTGAAGAGAATATGCACATACTTAAAAGCTGAAGAAAGAAAATTGATTATTTCAGTTACCAAATGTAGCAAGCACATGCTCTTAATGGAAATGCTAATTTTTATTTTAAAAAATAACATTTATTATTCACTTGATTATAAAACCAAAATTTGCTCATAGCATGATACAGAGAAATTTCTAAAAAGGAAAATAAAAATGTAGATACAATCTTACCAACCCAACCCAGAGACAATATTTTGATATACATCCTAGCTTTTTTCTATTCCATCTGTATGTTGTGTTTTATTAAATAAATTTGATATCACATAAGTTATTATATAATCTGTTTCTAAATACATTTCAAAAACACAGTTGTTAAAGAGTTGATGTACTATTCCACTGTACAACCATATTTACCAAACACTGGTTGGAATTTAGGTTGCTACTAACATTTTTTTGTTATTATAACACTACAGCTAGTATCCTTGCAAATAAATATCAATACACATTGCCGATTTCTTAGGATTAGTTCTAAGTGAATTTTCTAGGTCAAAGGGATATTTGGCAAAATACTTATTATCAAATGCCCTCCAGAAAGCAATGCTACTTTTATCAGTCACTAGAGGGGATAATATACTTTTTGCAGAGAATAAGTTAACAAGTCAAACACAGTAATAAGACCATGATCAACAATTCACCCCCAACAAAAAATGTTCTGTAAGAACATGACTTCCAAATAGGTGAAAATTGGTTTCAACTCAAGTTACTACTGTCTTTGTCAAATCATGTACAGCTCTAATGCCATAATTTGAGAAGACAGTAAGAAAGCAGTCTTCCTCCACTACTGTGCTGATCCTGTCCTTCTGGAAACTCCTATTTCATTTATAGTCAATGCCAACATTTGTACTTAACTCTTCTGTTCTATGTATTTAAGTTTTGCTGCCCCAGTGTGATCTACACTCATTTGGAAAATACCCCTTGCCATTTACATTTTTCTGTATTGCTCAGTATTTATAGATATTGCTGAGTTATTCCTTCAAAGCCTCTTTTTGGGAATCCAAATGATTCGTTTGAAAGGCCTATGCTTACTTTGACTGTGCAGAAAAGTTGGCAGCAGCAAAAACAGCAGCTTCAACTTCTACATTATCGTGTGAATCCAGACTCTGACGAATACTATGGTGAGCATTCTTCCTCTCAGGAATTATTGATGCCAGACTCCCCAACATCCTACAGAAACAGAGAAACCAGAAAAAAATGCAAAAACAATACACTCAAGGCCAGAAGCAAGGCAAAGCTAGATGATCAAAACTAAAGTTTGTAGGTAATTCCATAATCCCAGGTTAATAAAGCATTAACTTTAGGAAACAAGCAGTGACTTGTTTCTGTAAAAGAATCAATAAAATATATTTTAAAAATAAGTTAGGTGGAAAAGCAACCAATATAATATCTTAATAAAAAAATGAAATATATAAAAAAAATAAGTTAGGTGACAATATACAAGCAAAACAGCATCATAGATGATAAACAAAAGTATTTACAAATAAGACAAATAAGTGCAGTTACCATATTTTTGCATTGAATCTCAGTTGAAAAAACAAAAATAAAATTTTAATAATCAAAATGAAAAAGTAAGTATATTGCCTTTTCTGGTTACATAATTACAAATCAAACAATCGTGTGGTGAATCATCATAGCAATGCAGTATACCGGAGTGTGATGGCTCTTGCTACAGGATCATTGCTATGAATCACAGAGAAAATTCTCTTCACAAATTCATCCACATTTAGAATCTTCTCCAAGTGCTTCTCACTTTGTTGAGTAACTTTAAGAACACAGAGTCTCAGGAAATTGTTTCTATGAAAAACCAGGGATAAAATAAATTAGGCCACTTTAGGAAAGTCATATTTGATCAGGAATCAAAATTATACTATTAATATAAAATTGTAGCAACAGGCAAGTGTTTTTCAATCTTATTATCTGTGTCCTCGTTAAGAGTTAAATTTTAAAGTACTTTAGGTGGGCATTCAGCATAAGCAGTTAGCAATGCCTGCAGTCCTGCTGCCAGACACCAATTTTGGCAGTGACACAAGGAGAAGCCCTGAAGCAGAACTGAATCTCAACGTATAATAAACAAGGCCCACAGTTCAGATGGCCTTCCTCCCCTCTAGTGCTAATTCTATAACATCTTTTCCCCTTCAAGTCTGGTTCGGTGTGTGTATAAGCACATGAGAACTTGGAGAATGGGAGAAAGAAATAGGAGAAATGGTTTTTTTAGTCAGTGCTTACATGCTTCAGGCACTTCGCAATAACATGTTATCAAACGTTATAAAATAAGCTATTAAATCCAAAACTGCTCAAAATAATCAGTACAAAATTACAGGCATTTCCAAAGCATATATTGATATATCAAGGTTGCCATGATTTGATTTATCCTATTACACAAAGATATAAGAACTCTCTAATTTATACTCCTCATTTGTGCTTAAAACACCACTAAATCTCCCACTAAAAGGTATTATATACTGTGTCCATAAAAATGATAACCAATCAGTTGGAAGTTCTAAAAGTCAAAAAGAATGAAGACCACAATATAAAACAGAGATATGAACAAAGTGCTTTAGGACAATAAGGCTTTCAAAAGACTTACCCAACTCTGAAAACATCAGCTAACTTTAGGAATGCAGAATTGATGAGAATAGGGAATGGATACTTTTGAAAGAGCCTGGGAAAGCGAACAACTGCTTCACATTGTTCACCAAGTTTGCCAGATCTTAGACCTAAGAAAAACATAAAAAGAGGACAGCTTACACATGTGGATACAATAAAGTAAAGATAGACAATACTAACACAATATTACCCAGTAAAGTTATTTATGTAGAAAAATAACAGTAAATTTTTAACAACTAGAGGCCCACTGCATGAAGATTCCTGCAAGAATGGGCCTGCCTTTCCCTGGCTGCTGGCAGGACCTTGGCTCCGGCTCAGAGCCACCTTTCTGCCTTCCCACACTGCCCAGAGGTCTGGAGCTGCAGGAGTGGTGTAGAACACCTGTGTCCCACCCCTGGCCACTCAGCACCTGAGAATGCAAATTAACCCACCATCTTTGTTCGGTTAATTTGCATACTCACTCGTGCTTGGCTGATGGGCATTGCTAAGGTACAGTCAATTTGCATCTTTCTCTTTTATTAGTGTAGACTAGGTAAAGTACAACTGTAGTTCATTGCCTTTAAAAAAAAAATGGTACATAAAATAGTAATTTGGCATACTGTCACTTTGAGGTAAAAAAAAAAAAAGAAAAAGAATTTTTAATAGGAAAATTTGATTATAAATAAGTTAAGAATATTTGGGGCCAGAAAGTATATCTCAAAAAATTTAAAAGGACTAAAATCATACCAAATATGTCCTTTGATCTTAATAATTAAATCAGAAATCAGTAAGAGATTTGATCCAATAGGACTGAGACTTTCCCTAAGCAATCAGAGGTTTGTGGCTATATTCCAATTAGCATCTTCACCAACCAATCAGAGCAGCCCTACTCTGACCAATCGGGGACAAGTGGCAGGTACTTCTCTCTAATAAGTCAGTCCTGTTCTGGCTTGGGTAGCAGACTTTCCCTTTCCACTGAATGCTGAAATGGTGAGCCACCTTGCCACCTCACCTGAGGGCAACCTTAGTCATGCTGTTCCACAACCATCCTGTCTCATAATTGAGCTGAAACTCTATTGAGCTATTCCACGGCTGTGCTGTATTATTATTGAACTGTTTGCACTGAATAAAGATTCCTTTTTCACCACACCCCAAATTGGAGATTCCTATTGTTTCTGAATTGGCACCAATGATCATCAGTTGGTAAATATTTATGTTAACAAAGAAAAAAGGTCCCAGGCCTAACCAGTTTGCTCAGTTGATAGAGCATTGGCCTAGGGACTGAAGGGTCCCAGGTTCGATTCCAGTCAAGGGCATGCTTGATTGTGGGCACATTCCCAGTAGGGGGTGTGCAGGAGGCAGCTGACTAATGTTTCTTTCTCATCGATGTTTCTAACTTTCTATGCTTCTCCCTTCCTCTCTGTAAAAAAAAAAACCACAATAAAATGTTTATATTAAAAAAGACATTTTCTACTACCCCTCTGGTCCAGGTGGGCTCATCCCATAATGATAGTTGTAAAAAAGATTGTTATAGGGCTCTAAAGAAATGAGAAACCTAGAATTGTTTAATTCTTTAAAAATTGCAATTGTATAAAATCACAGAGGTAGAAGAAATAATTTGTAGAAAAAGTGGGCTTAGGAAACAAGGTATAGAGTTGAAGGAAGGTCCCTTAGAGCTTGGGAGTGTGAAAGCTAATAGTAACATGCCTGGGACAGGTATGGGCAAGGGTAAGGGAAAGGCATGCCTCCTGGAGGGAGAGCCAAGATTGTATAGTTTTTAAAAAACACTTAGTGTTATAACTTTATACTTCAGAAGAGGAAAAGCCCTATAGCTTTGGAAAGAGAAGCAGAGCTCACATTATTTTCTTTTTTGTTGTTATTAATCCTCACCTGAGGATATTTTTTCCATTGATTTTTCAGAGAAAGTGGAAGGGAGGGGGAGATAAACAGAGAGAGAAACATCAATGTGAGACACATCAGCTAGGGATCACATTATTTTTTGATTGGTGGAGATACACTCAAGATTCTGGGACTCAATCAAAAGAATATTGAATTGAGTTGTAACATTTTTTGTTGGTCAAAAGGAGTTAAAGGCTTAAATGTCTGAGAAATTCTTTTTTTAAAAGTTTGAGAAACTGCCCTAGTTGGTTTACTTCAGTGGATAGAGCAGCCGGGGAACTGAAGGGCCCTGGGTTGGATTCCCATCAAGGGCACATACCTCCGTTGTAGGCTTAATTGGGGCATATGTAGGAGGCAACCAATTGATGCATCTCTCTCACATCATCAATGTTTCTCTCTTTCTCTCCCCTGCCCTTTCACTTTCTCTAAAGATCATTGGAAAAATATCCTTGGGTGAGGATTACCACCACCAACAAAAAAATTTTTTAAAGGATGAGAAACTTATCTATCTTGACCAACCCTCTAAAAATGTTTACAGTTTAAAAAAGAAACACACACACACACACACACACACACACACACACACACACACACACACACGGTCCTCCCAAGGTTAGTAGAGTGTCCATGTCAGAGATCTGGGAAATGGTTCATAGTGGACATAGATTCTTCTAACCTTTAGTCCAGTTCTGAATACACTATACATTGACTACAGTTAATTAAGAATTAACTGTGCCAGGCAGATGTGGCTCAGTTGACTTGCAAGTCAGGAGGTCACATTTAGATTCCTGGTCAGGGCACATGTCTGGGTTGCGAGCTCAATCCCAGGCTCTATCCCGTTTGGGGCATTCAGGAGGCAAACAATCCATGATTCTCACCACTGATGTTTCCATCCCTTTCTCCCTCTCTCTCCCTCCCTCTGAAATAACCCCCCTATATATCTATATATCTAAATCTATATCTATATATAGATATATATATACATACACACACACACACACACATATATGTATAGCAGATGACAAAATATTTTCCTCATTCAATAAAAATCCTTGAAGTATACTGAAACAGGTTTCATTTTAATACCTGAGTTCTATACTGACAAATATCTGGCTTTGTCTTCTATATTCATACCTAAGAAAGAAGACATATCCCTTTTTAGCACTTAATAAAGACTTATTTTGCATACCACTATATCACCTAGTATATTTTTTGTTCCATAAATTTTATATCATTTAATATTTACAACAATCTTGTCAGCTCAATGTTTCTGTACCCACTTTGCAGACAAAAAAAAAAAAAACAACAACAAAAAACAAAACGAGGTTCGGGGGTTAGGTGACTTGTCCATGATAATAAATGAGTGAAACTGCAACTCAATTCAATCTAACTTCAAAGCTCTTTCTAGTACACCAAACGCCCACTCCCCATCCTCAAAAGGAAACAGAACTCTGCAGAGAAGGAGCAGGGGATGGTTTTCGGATGGTCTCAGCTGACTTTCACCTGCCCAGTAACTGCCAAGTAACAGCTACAGAACCCAAATAAACCGCTATGAAGTCGGTGCACCATTATTATTCATTTTGGTGAAAATATGATCTCGAACGTTCTGAAAAAATAATTTTTCAATTAAAAACAAAACAAAACACTGCTTGGAAAATCGGGATACTGTGCCCCCAAGTGGTCAAAAACGGGCCCTCCCCAGAGTTCGCTAGCTACTAGCTCGATTTGTGCAAGGCCAATCCAGCAACGCGGCAATTTCCCAGCAATCTTTTAAAGCACAGGGGCCCGCCCCCCGGACTAGGGAAGCTACGCGCATGCCCGAGGCTATCCCCGCTCGGGGGCGCCACTCCCCCCGCATCCATCACTCCCGCTCCGCCCGCTCTTTTGAATACCTTTGTCTAATTCCATAAGGGCAGAGTTAGCATCCAGCTCCTGTTCGCCATAGCCGGCATCTGCCAAGAAAGACTTAGTCGAGTTGGACGCCATGGCTCCCAATAGTTCCTGGACTACCCTTATTCAGAAATAGTGCACACTCGGCCCCATCACCGCCATCTTCTTCCACCACCACCACCTTCTCGCGGATAGTTCCCTCCGCGCTCTCTCAAAGTCGTGGTGCGCATGCGCCCTGGCCACCACGCCGTTCGCCAACGTCTCAGCGCCGCCTCCGCGCAGGCGCCCTGGGGCCTCCCGAGCGCCAGGTTCCCGCGGCTGGGAGAAAAGGAGGCGGGGATTCGTCGAGGGAAGTGAGTCGACGGCGCCCGGACGCCGCGCTGAGAGCCAATCAGAGGGCGTGACGTCAGTTTGGCGGGGAGTTTGGTGGCCGGGGCTTACAGTGGCGGGAGTTGGAGGCTATAACTAGTCCTCTTCTGCAGGACCCGAGTGGCGACTTGTGGTTCGTCGGTGGCATCTCGACGACTTTTCTCTCGGTTGCGCCTTTCCCCCCCGGCCCAGATGCTCTTCAATTCGGTGCTCCGGCAGCCCCAGGTTGGCCTCCCGAGAAATGGTGAGTAACGGCCCTAACCGCTGCTCGCGGCTGGCGGGATTCGCCTCCCCCCCTGAAACCACACCTCGGACCAAGGCCGAATCCAGTTGTTTCCCAGCTCCAGCCCCGAGTTCTCCGACGACCAGGCGACTGGAGAGAGCAGCGGCGCTTGCACGCCCCTCGGGACACTTGGGATCGGAGTCTCCATTTTTAAAACTAACATGTAGGCGGACGAAAGGGGGAGAAAGTGAACTTTTAAATGGCCTCCTTTACGGCGTATGCCTATATTAACACGTTTGGTGGAAAACGCGTGCATGGATGTGTGCGCGCGTGTCTGCGTGTTTCTCGTCGGCTATGTGAGATGGAGGCGACTCGGATGCATTGATGAATGTGTTGCAGAATCTTAGCCCTAATATTTATTCTTTTGCATCAGCGAATCTGAGCCCGCTGTTAAGGAACTCCAGTCAAGCGGAGGAGACAGAACATCTGCTTCTAGCATGGTCAAGAAAGTTTCCCCACCCCCCCTCTCTCCCTGATTACTTCATATGAATAAACATTTGAAATTATAGAGTGAAAAATGCCCATAACCCCCCCCCCCCAGAGATGACCAGTATTAAATAGATTGAACAGTATATTTTCCCAAGATGTTTTTCAATGCCGGAGGTAGTATGTATTGTTATTTTTTTGTTTTGTGTTTTACGCTAACGGTGTAACTTGGGAATATTTCTATATTAGTATGCAGAAATCTAACCTATTCTGTATAGTTTTTGAGGATCTTTAGGTTAAAACTTTGACAAGAATTTTGAGCCTAGGTTTGGGTGTCATCGACCTGAAACTTTCTGATGAGGAAAGTTACTCCTGGGACTAAGCTTGGATAGAAATGAAGGATAAGACTTCTTTCTCTTTAAAACCACGTGGAGGGGGGGAGGAAGAAGACAAGAATTTGAGAGGGGAACTTTTTATATTTAAGGCATTGGTCTAGGACAATGTGCTACAAGGGGGGAAAAAATTTAAAACATGCAATACCTGACTATTTAGTCGGGGCACTGACTTCTTTTCCCTTAGATTGTCAAATAAGGAAATGACAACAGCCAACACAACAATAGCCGTCCGGTGTGAACAGATCAAAATTATACTTTTTTGTTTTTTGTCAGATTGGCAAAAATATATATGTTTTGTTGTGCTTCAGAAACTTTCTGATAAGGATGTTACTATCTAGACTAAGCTTGGATAGAAATGAAATTTCATTCCTTTAAAGAAGAATAAGCCTTTCTCTTTAAAACCACGTGGGGGGGAAAATCACGTGGAAAACAGAAAGAAAAGAATATGAGAAGGGAACTTTTTACATTTAAGGGATAGGTCTAGGATAACGATTTTCAACCAGTGTGCTGCAAAAAATAAAATTTAAAGCATGCAATGCCTGACTATTTAGTCAGGGCACTGACCTCTTTTCCCTTAGTTTGTCAAAAAAGAAAATGACAACAGCCAACACAACAATAGCCGTCCAGTGTGAACAGATCAAAATCATAGCTTTTTATTTTTTTGTCACATTGGCAAAAAATATATATATATATTGGTGTGCTGCAGAATTTTAGAAATCACGTTTATGTGTGCAATGAGATAAAAAGGTTGAAAATTGCTGGTCTTTTAGGAAAAGGGTTTTGAGAAAGAGACTGAGTAGTCCCTCAATTTTCTACCACCAACCTAAAACTTTATATCTTCCTGACCTACTTCCCTCTTGCATAATATTTTAAATCATACTTTAAATTGCCCCCCTTTTCTGTTTATACAGGGACCTTGCTTGAGTAACTTCTCTATCTGTCATGAGTGTCAATAACAGTGATTAAGAGCTTTGAGTTTGGAGATAAAATGCCTGCATTTTTTTGTGTTACTGTTTTTTAATGCCTGAGTTTTAAATCCAGTTCCACTCTTTATCTGTGTGACCCAAGGCAAACTCTAGCCTTGATTTTGTAACACATTTTCTCCTAAATCTCCAATTTATCCTCTATCTCCCGGCCTCTCATAAATTCTCGTTCATTGTTATGTGTTAGGCTTTGACATTCATTCATCCTTATATATTATGCACTGAACATGATAGGACCATTTTCTCTTTTCCCCTTCCTGTCAGTGTTCCATCCTAGGCTTGTTATCTCCTGTCTACTCCCATGGATGATCATAACCTCACCAGGGCTTCTTCCACTGCCACTTGCAACCTTCCTTTCCCAAGTCTGTTATATCCAGTAATATAAAAGTTGTATGAGCATCTTTTCCCAGATGGTCAGTGCCACAGGCCATCTCAAATTCAAATACCTAAAGTGAATTGACTTTTTCCCCCTAAACAAGCAGTATTACCTATTTTGGCAGTAGTTCCATTATTTTAAACTAGTCTGCCCAGCCAGAAACCTGAGAGTTAATAAAAATTTCTCCATTTTCCTCAAGATACACATACAGAAACTTTCCTTATAATCTCTTGACCTCTCTTTCCACACTAATTTTGCCTCTTCACCTTATCTTGAATCTGTTCTATTTTTACCATTCCATTTCCTTAGTTTGGGCCCTGATACTTTTCTGGTCTGGATTATAACAGGTCTCCCAAGTGGCTTCTCTCTAGTTTATTCTCCACATTGTTGCCAATTTTATTTCTAAAATGGGAATCTGATTACTTTTCTGTGTATTTTTAAATTGGTACCTAAAAGTTTTCATCCTAAGTTAAACAAATATAAAGAATTTAATTTCTGGCCATATTATAAATATTGACATAAAAATAGTATATTACTCTTTAAAATGTATCTAATAGAATGTAAATTCTATAGTTATTTGATAACTGCAAAAATAATTTTTAAAATATGAACTATTTTAACTTAAATATTGTACCGTTTCCCCAAAAATAAGACAGTGTCTTATATTAATTTTTGCTCCCAAAGATGTGCTAGGTCTTATTTTCAGGGGATGTCTTATTTTTCCATGAAGAAGAATACGGTACACATTTATTGTTAAATGAAAATAAAAGAAATTTATTACCTGTATACGGTAGTACGGTAGTTGTCAACACAAACGAGATAAACTGTGAATCCTACAGTATCAAGAATTTACTCATTTATTCAATGACAGTCATGTCATCATCTTCTGGAACATCATCATAACAATCCAATTCCTGAATTTCCTGGTGAATTTCTTGTGACTCCATTTGTTTCAGAATCAGTGGACCAAATCTCTCATGGTTAGCAATAGCACTGTCTTTAAATGAGTACTTCTTGTCAAGGTAGCCTGCTCGCAGTGCATTTGCAATGCAACTGTCAGTGATTTTCTCCCATGAATTCTTCACCCAAGTCACAACTTCTTGCAGTTGAGGTTTCACAAAGTTTCCACACTGATTTCTCTCCATTCTATTTTCAATGTAGTCATTAATTTCCATGCACAATTTCCATGTCTTTGCATGGCTTGTTTATTGCAATATCAAGAGTCTGGAGATAGGCCTTATTTTCGGGGGGATGCCTTATATTTCACTCAGAAGGAAACCTGTAAGTAGGTCTTATTTTCGGAGGATGTCTTATTTTCGGGGAAACACTGTATATAGTTGTTTTTCTCCCTTGAACTTATTTCCACTTTATTTCTCCCACCAAATTTACCCTAATGTAATTTTATTTTAAGCTTGAAAATTTGATTGATCACCCTATCATATTTCTCTTTGTAAAAAAATACATTTGAATTGATATTATCTGTGATTGTAAGGCTCTGTGTGTTTAAAGTTCATCTGGATTGACTTACCATTGCAATTATTAGTATGCAGGTAATCAAAACTATATATTTTTAATTTTGATAAGGAATTACTAAGCAAAAAGTTAAAATTTTATTGGAAGTATATTTTTTTAGGCAATGGATTTGTGTGTTCATCATGTCTTTACTAAAGGGAGTGTCCGGTTGTCTCTCATTTGGGATCCCAGATTTTATACCTTGGGATACCACAAGGTATAAAATTGGGGCATGGAAATACCTTTCTTTTGAAAGTGGAAGACAGTGATGAAGGGAGAGGAGAGAAAAAAGCCTCAATCTTTTCAGATGATTATTTTAGAAATGTTTATACATGGAATTTGAGCATCAGGAAATTGATTCTCTGAAAACTCATGTCCTTAGATACTCCTTGAAAAATCTGCATGTAATTTTAAATTGTACATTGGATAAGTGATAGGCTTATTCACTTAATGATAAGTTCATGTTGGGGGAAGTTCATGTTGGGAGCAGCATAGCACACTAATTCAAAAGTAGTTTAAGGGTCTGGAAATGAAGGGGACTAGTTACTAAGTCATGTTAGGCCATTTGTTAATATTTGGATATTGGTCTCTAGGTTATGAGGTAGAGTTGACAGGAGTCAATGTTTTATTGTAAAGAATTAAATCTCCATAGTATACATATTATCTTCAATTTCACCTAAATTATTCAAGATTCAGTTCTTTTGAATAAGTGTGAAGTCATTAGATTAAAAAAAAAAAAAAATCCTAAACCACAAGTGTGCATTTCTATAACTTTTTTAAAAAGTATATTTTTAAAAAAATTCTTTATTGTTGAAAGTATTACACATGTCCCCTTTTCCCCCCATTGACTCCCTCCAGCCCACAACTCCCACCCCAGGCCT